TTCTAAAAATTCTAGCCATTTTTGCTGGTGATTTATTGGATTTAGCAGACAGAATGATTATCTGTTCAAACCTTTAGCTCCTGATGACAGATTGATTGGGAAGTTAGGACTGTCTTGTGATTGAAGCACTGTCTTCTTCCTTGTATATAAAAAAACACAATCCTAAATATATTAAAAATGACACAATTTAAGATAAAAATAATGTGAAGACAAATATGATTTGATCTGAATTTTAATATTCCTTCATTATTTAATTATTTGTCTCTAACTAAAAATTAAACGTTCATTTTCAACAATACAGTAGTTCTAAAAATAACTTATGAATGCATTGACTGCAATTCTTTTTATGAGCAACATAGTTTTAACCTTCATTTTCTAAGAGGTAGTGAAACTTTGCTTGGTAAACGTTTATTTATCACAAGAGATATTTTAACTGTGACAAACCGCCATATATAAACATGCCATGTGACACTTATTTCATGCCATCCATTATATCTCTAATTTGGAGGTTACAGAGGTCCGTCTTTTGCGTACAGATGACGAGAAAAAAAATCTTACCCTAAATAATGAATCACAAAATGTCCTGATTTAGTTAAAGAAAACGTGAAATGATAATAAAACTTGAAAATAAATGGCTGACACAAGAAACGAGAGCATTGAAACCTATTTGTAGATTTAAGGTACTCTTTTGATGCATAAGCATTTTTTTTAATTTCCGTTTTTATTTACTAATTGGTTGTGTACTAATCAAACGGTTTTCTTCGTGAATTTCGCGTCTTCATAATTTTTCGTCATACCCTTTTCATAGATTTGTATTTTTTGTAGATTTGTTTGGAGATTGATCACCGTTTTTTATATTTATCTTTTCATTATATATGTCCTGCAAAAAAAAAACATAACTTCGGTTTGGTTTTTTATAATGTTACTGTAATTTCTGAGACAAGCAAGTGACCTATTGTAGTTAAAAGTAGTTTCGTTTTTCGCTTTATCTCAGATCTTTGACAAGGTAAAGTCAGTGTTTAGTCATCGTTTTGTGAAAGATATAAAGAGGAAGATAACGAACAGTGATCAACCCCATAAACCAAAAAGAAAACTTCATAAACACGGACCTCTGGAAACACCAAGGGTGGGATCAGGTGCCTAGAAGGAGTGAGCATCCCCTGTCAAATGGTCACATCCGCCATGAGCCCTATATGTAATAATCAGTTAGTAGTTGATGGATTCTCTTAATCGTGATCATATGAGATTTTTTTAATTTTTGACCATGCTTTTGTTTAAATGTCTATGGTATAATGTTATTTTCCTTCTTATCTATTCTACTACTACATTACGAAAAACAGTAATTTAAGAAAAAAAGAAAAATGCATGTTATATTTTTCAATGTTATGCCAAATATTTTTTTTAATTCATATTAACAATACTGGTTCAGCTAAAACTTTTTGCACTCTCTTGGTCCCACTTTAATTTATGCTTAAAGGTCAAATGTGTGCATATATTTCACTATTTACCTGATCATTTGCTTCTGTTTGCCCTGATGGTTTCAATTCTAGTACTGACAAGTACATATTTAAATTTTTTTTTTAAGTTGTGATCATTTGTGTTCATTTAAAATGGAGATAATGAACAGAAGCTCAAAACTTCACTGAAACAATGCAGTTCAGGAGCAAAGGAACTTTAAAAACATAAGAAGTTGGATCAGGTGCCATGGAGGAGTAAGTTTCCCTTTGACCGGTTATACCCGCCGTGTGCTCCTTCTCATGATCGAACAAAGATAAATGTACTTACTAAATATTCTTTGTTACTGTACTTTAAAAACTGGTTGTTAGACAGAAGAATCAAAACAACACATAACCCTTTATAACAACCAAGTAACAAATAGAATTTTCCAAATCTTTTATGTTATAATGAAGAAATTTGTTTACAGGAAAAAAGACCAATAAAATACCCCGATACCTAATGTTTTTCCCCAAAACTTGCTGTTAGGACTTCTCTGTTGTATTTCTTTTTGTTATGCTAAGTTAAATGATATTCACTATTAGTTTCAGCAACGTTAACACATATGAACTTTTAACAAAAAACTTTGCTCATACTGGGCTCCTTTCTTAATCCCAGGTGGTTCAAATCTGTGTTCCAAGTAAATTATTCTTCGAAGAAAGAAACAGTAATTTGTTTTTCAAATCTCTGCAATGCCAAGTTCTTTAGATGGAAGTACACATGGTTTTTGAATAGATTCTAATCAAACTGTTTTAATTCTAACAAACATATATATGTCCTCGACATTCCAAATATAAAAGTTTTTTAAATGCACATTTAAGCATTAAATTAAACAAAAACATGTCCCAAAAGAAGGATGCCTCAAAATGATAAAGTGTGTCTTTTATGCCATCCATTTTACTGAACTGCACACCATAGGAGAATTGTGCATAAATCAAAACAGCTGGATGATTTTATAATTGACTTTTGTACATTTCTGGTCTGTGTTTGTTAATCATCATAATATGTTGACAGTGATATGTCTTCAGACACAAATGGTCATTACGGGGCTACGCATGCAGAAAATTAACCTTATGGATTGTTATTTTTGAAATTTATAGCAAAAGCCTTCACCGTATGTTGACATATATTAGTGTTAGAATATCTCTTAGTTTATCATGTTTCTTTATGGTTTTCTTGCAAAATGATTGATATTTCAAACATGCAGATAAAAATAATTAACACGACCTGTTAATTGTGAAATGATTGTTTTACACCTAACAACTTATAACAAGTTTCAAAGGAGAAATTGGGTAAGTATGTCAAAGATACTCTGCAAGACTTGCACCAAATTTCAATTCTTCTCAAGAATGACTGTGGTTTCAGTAAAAGTTGCATTAAATGTGCTTGACAAAACAAAAATATAAGATTTAATTGACCGTTTTCTCTTGGAACAGGTGTTGAATGCAAATTATGTTCAGGTTATTTAGAAGTAATATCTTTTCTTATCCAAAGCACACATCAATTTCAGAGAACAGCTGTAACGAATATACAATTAAAACAAAGATTGTAACAGACATGGACTTTGTTCCTAAATGTGACCCGTTACAGACATACTTATTGATGAGTAGCGGCTGAAAAAATGACAACAATTTCCTCGCTACCAAACCCTCCAACAAGAAGGTGTCTTGGAGTGTTTTAATGTCAGATAACGTCGATCTTAGAGCTGTGTAAAGTTTGATGATTGATAGTACTAAATTCTTTTTTTTTTTTTTTGCGTTTAATTATGAAATAAATAAATTCATAATTTATGACATATCACTCATCACTTATGTTTGTATGGACCTGTGGGTATTCGGGTCATAAGCGCGTAGAACAACCTAGAAATGATTTAACTAATGTTTGTTTTTTTTATTGAGAACTCAATTTATCTTCTCAAACTGCAAATTATCCAATTATCGAGAAAAAAAATTGTACAAAAACAAACAAACAAACAAACAAACAAAACAAAAAAAACCCAACAAATCCATAACCAAAAAGTTAATTAATATGCGTATAATATGCGAAGGACTGAATCCGGAATTCAATATTTTCTATATGAATTTTTTCATGTAAGTTTTTATCCCCAAATATAGTTTTATGTTTTCCTAATTAAAGTTTCTTAGAGAAATATTACCCCCAGCATTTGGTAGAGTAGGGGTCCTTAATCGTTACAAATGATTATTTTTTAATGCATCTTTCCACGGACTTCCACTTTCCTCAACAAATCTTGTAACTCAAGCTTTTAATAAATGATAAGCAAACCAACACAAATGTCACAGTGATTGCCTTCAATTACTGCAAACATGCAAATACAAGCGAATGATTTATAACAAAGCTTACTTAAAGTAAGTTATTGACAAATAGGTTGATGAGGCGAGAATATCAGCAGTCTCGTTTGAAGTCATAATTTCGTTGGTCGACACAATGACTTAGTCAGAAATACATATTAAGTCAAATACTGACTGACTGACGAAAACCTCAAAATAAATTTAATATTTATAAAAAGTATACTTTGACAATAATACAATATATTCTCTTTATCTCATTATGAATTGATGGCAGCATAAGAAGATTTGACAAACCCTCTTTAACGATCTATTTTTTTTACAGTTGTGTCACATGACATCTTTGTTAAATTATTTATAAAGATTACAAAGATCAAGTTAACGCTTTTATGAAATATTTTTAAATTTCAATGTGCATTGAGTCCAGGAGGTGCAATTTTTAATGAAGGACTTGTTTTGTAAATATTTACTCTTTGCATGTTTTTCAGTTATTTGTAATATAGATTTTAAACCAAGTCTGAAGTCAGGACCATATGACATTTATACAAGAAAGAAAATTGTGAATGCTTTAAGATATTGCGGAAAATTTTATCTAGAATTATTTCTGTTCGTTGCCTTAACATTTTTTGAAACATCATTTGTCTTCTGTTTTAATGAGGAAATCAGTAAAGTAACTTTTGTATTGATATTTTAAATTATTCACATGGTAAACCGTTGATTCTACACTTTTTTCTTTTATTTAAATTTGATATTTTAATTTATGAAATGTGAAATGTGAAGGAATTGCTTCATTAAAAGATCCTTATAATAAATGTACAAGGTTTCATAAATTTTCGCTTTGTATTTTGTTAAAATAAATCTTCTTTACGTTGTGGTAAACATTTGTTTGTGGAGAATTCTGCAACTAATTATAAAGCAATACTTTTTTGTTTTGTCAACGTCCTTATACTTCAATTTTGACTTTATAAAATAGACAGAACTTGACATTTACGTATCGTGATGCCTTGTCACGTCGATTGTTAATTTATTTGGGGAAAATATTTTAATTGTTAAAAACACAAATCAGTTTTATTTCAGGAACCTTAAAATCAGAAAGCATGTTTACAAACATATTTACGCTCTAAGAAGGTGATAAAGCAAATTTTAACGTATTATATAATGATTTAAACATAAATGAACAGATTTATTTTCCCTTTGAAGCCTGCCTTGAGGTATACCCCGTCCCAGCCATGGTGGCTTCCCGGAATGTTAGGTTCCCTCCGGGACACTCCGGATTTCGGAAAATACTCCCGCTTCTCCTCATTTTCTACCTTTGCCCGATCCACGACGGCGTCAGAGCTCACCAAGGAGCCGTCCGAGGAGAACCTCCGGCGGAGGAATACAGTGGTCGTCATTCTGATGATCATTGCGGTACTAGCCGCCATAGCTGTGATTCTTGGCATTACTCTCTACTTTCTATACCATAAAGGTAATACAGCAAGGAGGATTACTTTCTATGAAATTGTTAATTAGCAAAACAAGCATAATGAAACACCACATTCTCTTGTTAAGGACAGACGAGACGTTCCTTAATAATAGATAAATTTTTCATAGAGTTTGTCATTGAAGTTTGCTTGAAACATGTTTATTGAGCAAAACAAGTTTTTCTTATATAATCCTTTGGGGAAGAAAAATAATTTTCCAATTTCAAATGTTTAAGTGTTTAGATTTTTTTAAAAACGTCTAGAAACTGGTTTAGAAATCAGAATTTTATGAAAATTTTGAATATTTTTCATACATTACGTATACAAAACAGATTTTGACCCACTAAAATTACATTAATTCCTTTAATTTCACTACAATAAATTATATGATAATCACTGGCTATTAAAATATTTTTGCAGCAATAATCCGAGCCCACATTGATTTAACCATTTATAATCGTAATTTCACCGACGCAATGGACAACCATACATCATCTGATTTTAGAAACATAGCTGAACCTTTATGTGACGAAGTAAGTACAATTAGCATCTTATATGTTGCTCCTGAAGCTTCACTTTTGACTTTGAATATTCATACTACTTGTGTTTTATAATTGCAGATGGACAAGTATTTCTTTACCAGTAAATTCAAATATTTCTACCTCCAGTGCAAAGTTCATGATCTCAAGTAAGTAATAATTAAAAAACAATCAATTTTTCTTAATATTTAACTCAGTCGTATTATATTACTTGAAATCTACTTACAGAGATAATGGCGGGAAAGTAGGCGTGTACTTTACCGTAGACTTCCTGGACAATATTTACACACAGAACGTTAAGGATATACAGGATGTTATTCTAAAGAAGTCTGGGCGACTTGTTAAGGACAATGCCTTATTTCTTGTCATCCGGGACTTCTTGGTTTACATAAAGAGTTTTGGCATACGATTGGAAAAGATACCAACAGATGGGCCAATCAACCTACCCCGTATTCCATTCTACGGTACAGTATGATAAACTGATAACTTCATGTTTTCTTCATTCATTTAAGAGTTTGTGTCTGTTTATCCTGATAAAAAAATTGCCTGTTTTCCATTAAATCAATATATGCAAGGTAAAAGGTGTTTGCAATTTGCATGAAATATCGCTTTATTTTGCATCATTTGTCTTTTCCGTTATGATTTATTCAGAAACATACCTCTTAAAATATCTAATAGAGTAAATATTTCACTTAATAATCACCCAAAGCTTGCTTTAATATACATAAGCAAAAATTAAGGAACTCATGGAATATACCATTACCAATTGAATTTTCAATAAATTCATCATTAGCGGACAATACTCTTACTATTTCGAGTACGGAAACAACACCGGAAGATGTAATATCCACATCTTCTACGACAAAAGAAGCACCAAAAACAAGCAAAATACCAAAGTCACTCGAAGAATTTAAGACCACTAGCGAAAAAACAAACGTCACTACACCCATGACGTCAACAACAAGTCAAGCGCCATCTCTTAGAGTAGGCGCACTTAAAGAGAGGACAACTACAATTTCTACCACCACCGAGAAAACAAGAACCACCACGCCTCTATCATCAACATCAAGTAAAGTATTATTATTGAGAGTAGGAACACTTAAAGAAGATACCACTTCCACAACTACAACCAGCACGAGTACTACAACTGCGTCACTTCCGCTGACAACTACTACTTTTAGTCCTAATTATTGGGATTTATTATTGAACAGATACGGATTAAGGGAAGGTGTAGTTGAAGAGGGTTCATCTCTTCCAAAATCACTGGAAAAACCTGGTGAGAATGTGCACAACTATTACCTCGACCCTCCACACGCCATTTTCCATATAACCAGCTATTGTAGAAACCTGGTGGGAGTGTGCGAAACTGTCACATAGAATCCCGTAGACGCCATCATCTATATAACCAGCTATATATTTTAGAAACCTGTGTAGTCGTTCAGAACTATCACCTAGACCCCATTTTCAATATCCAGCTTTCTTAGAAACCTTGCGAGAATGCGCGAAACTGTCACGTAGCTCTCTCTAGATGCTATTTTCCATATAGTAGTAGCATACCCCATGCACCCAGACCTTAATATAAACATATATAAATTCCCTGTACAATAACTGTACACTCTTATGTCTGTGCTGTTTAAATAATTTATTGTACACCTTTCATTTCCAGTCTTTGCATCATACATTATTCTAGTAACATTTTAATTTTTTATATTGTTATCTTAAAAAAAATTTGTTTCCTTTGAAATATAATGTTGTATACTTGTACACAAGTTTCTAATGAAATGAAATTTTGTTAACGAACATGAATTGTTCCCATTTTTATAACATAATCAGGACAAATATCAACTAATGTATGTTATTTGAGATGATAAACGGTGATTTGACCTTTTGAATGCCCGGGCCCCATCTCCAATCTGTGCCCTGTAGCAAAATGTTTTGCTATCAATTCCATGTGGTATAATAGAAATTACAATCATATTTGTTCATCAGAGATTTCAGTTTGTTTACGCCGACAGTCTGAATGCCGTACCGTGGTGGTGACCCAGCTAGCGACCTGTGACCCAGCTCAGAACAGACCTTAAACTACGTAAAGTTTGAAGAATTGAAAAATTTTATAAATTATGAAATGCAACAGGATATTTTTCATGTGATCTCTGTTCAATATTTATATCAAGTCAAAATCTATTTCATTTATAAATAAAGATGAAAAATGGACATTACACAAACAAAGGGGGGGGGGCATAACGAGATGAAGGGGGCGGATCCCTGTAATAAAAGACAATATACTTGTAATAATTTTATAATCAGAATTTAACTTACCAGGCTGCATAATGCCTATTAGTTTGTTGTAAAGCTCCTTATGCTCTCTATCTTCCAGTGAACTGCTTCATCATTACTGTGATCTTGTGACTGTCAGGCGCTATGCACAATTTGCGCGGGGCAAAGGATTTTTCACGTGATTGGAAAATTGAATTTCATTGGAGTTTGGATGTTTAATAATGAATAATCATTTTAGAAAATCACGTGTTCAAAAAACTTTTTAATTGGACCATGATACAAGACAGTTATTGAATATTTATTTTGGTGGTGAAGAATTATTACATAATCTTTTAATAATTCAATAATAATGAAAATTGTAAGAATATCAGATTTTAATTTTTTATATTTATCGTATTTGTAAAATTTTGAGAATTTTGTTAAAGTTCCCATTTTTATAACATATTAAGGATAAATATCAACTAAAGTATGTTATTTTAGAAAATAACCGGTACAGTAATTTCATTACAATATATTTATCAATTAATTGTAAAACTGTGAAGGATTAAGGTAACAAAGAAGATTCTTTATAATTCAAAGATGACAAATGTTCGGAAGAACCCTGTCTGAATAACGCCACATGTATAAGTCATGGCGTCACTCTCTATAGCTGTGTCTGTGACAGAGGCTGGAAAGGAACACGCTGTGAAACAGGTAGATTACATCAGATCTAAAAATATCACACACATGCGCTCAAGAATTATTGCATAATCCTTTAATAATTTAATAAAAATAAAAATCGTATGTTTGATAACGTGCAAAATTTTGAATGATATTTCAGACAACACAATTAGAAAAATATTTTTAGAAAAAATATAGAAAAGTATACAGCATTTGAAATAATCATTTGAAATAATCGTATTTAGATATCAACGGGTAAATTTATACAGATAAGTTATCTTTGAAAATGTCTGCATTTTTTATTTTTTTAATGGATGCACATCAAATACGTATTTGAATATATTTTTGAATTCCCTTTTGTCTTTTTAGATATAAACGAGTGTGAAAATTCTCCTTGTCATAATAATGGGACCTGTGTAAATACTGATGGATCATATTTCTGTGTTTGTCCACCAGGGTGGACTGGGCGCACCTGTTATAATGGTAAGTAAACAACACTTTGAAGGAACAGAACCATAGGTATCATTAGTTTCTATAAAAATCTCAATGATCCTGATATAAGGAGATTAAATAAAATGCCATTCTTCTCAGCAAATTTTCAATCTAAAATTCTTGGCTTACTTTTATTAATTTTTTAAGATGTCCAAGAGTGTTCTACTTTAGAACCTTGTCAGAATAACGGTACCTGTATCAATAATAACGGTTCTTACGTTTGTCAATGTGTGGAAGGCTGGCAGGGACAACATTGCCAAGATGGTAGGATTTATTGAGGAAACATTATCTCATGATCTGAATTTCAACATATAAAATCCTATGGAATAATTACAGATATCTCGGAAAAATTGAAAATTAATTTTGACATGTTAGGGACAGAGTTATTTTAAGTTCCTGGTTATTTTCAGATCAAAATGAATGTCTTATGTCTCCTTGTCAACACAATGGTAGTTGTACTAACACCCCAGGTTCTTACACGTGTGATTGTACCGAAGGATGGCAGGATAAGCATTGCCAAAAAGGTACTTAAACATGCATCAAAGTGATATATCTTATAATGTACTTTATACCTATGTTTAAAGTACAAAACATTTCAAAACACTTATTGTTCTTTTTTGAGGTTTTATATGATAGCGAATATTGAATAATCATTAATGAGTATACATGCATTATTCATTTTTTTTCTTAATATTTTCCAGACGTGAATGAATGTAAGAGTTCTCCTTGTCTTAACAATGGCACATGTATAAACAATGAAGGATCCTACAAATGTAACTGTACGGAGGGCTGGAGAGGCAAAAACTGTGAAGCTGACATCAATGAATGTACGGAAACCCAGCCGTGTCAGAATAACGGCACTTGTTACAACAACGACGGTTCTTATACCTGTAGTTGTGTACAGGGCTGGCGGGGGCAGAATTGTCAAGATGGTAAATTATAAATAACTTTTCAAATAGAAATAAAATAGAAATAAAAATACCGATCAATCAGATTAAAGATTTGTAAAGCGTTTGTGTTTATTTTCAAATATTGACTTTGTTTATTTGTTTTAAGATCAGGATGAATGCGATCTATACCCTTGTCAAAATAATGGAACCTGCGTAAATAGCATTGGATCTTTTGACTGTAACTGTACGGAGGGCTGGCAGGGGCACACTTGTAGTAAAGGTAAATGTGCCATCTGTGTTATTAATAATATGGAAGTTACCTGAGCAATAATTTACATGATTAAGCGCACATTAGATTAATGTCAATAACCTTTTGTATTATTTTTGTAAACAATGACCCTTGAATAATAAAGAAATGTTTTTACAATTTGCAGATATTGACGAATGTGTAATTTCCACTCCCTGTCAAAACACCGGAACTTGTATAAATAATAATGGCTCCTATGTTTGTGGCTGCACGGAGGGGTTTATTGGAAGACACTGTATGGAAGGTGAATCAAAAATATCCCACCTCATAAGCATCCATTTGTCATTTTGATCATTTATCATTTTATTTATGAGATAAACCGGACGTAAAGAAACCGATTCAATCTAGTAAAAAATAAATCAACAATTTAAAGAAAAGGAGAAATCCTATTTGTTCAATTCTTTATCCAGGAATTCTATAGTATTTTGATAAATGACCAGTAATTATTCATCTTAATTCTGTAATAAATTCAAATAACAACATTTTTACGTGTCATTTTTAGTTTATGATTATACGTACCTCTTATATTTTTAGGTCACCTGAGTCACTCAGGTGACCTATTGCTATCTGTTTTTGTGGCTGCACGTCGTAGGGGTTTTTTGAACATTTTCAGGCAACCACTGACCAATTGCAACCAAATTTGGCACAAAGCATCTATGGGTGAAGGTTGTGAATTTCATGATCCCTACCCCCCTGGGGCCTGGGGGGTGGGGCCAAAACCACTAAAATTAATGAAATCTTTAAAAATCTTCTTCTTTACTCCTGGACATCAAGCAGTCAAACTGTTTGCATGATTGTAATCATTTTGTTCAAAATTGTATTCATTTTATTTAGGGCGGGGCTAAATAAGTATATAGTGAAAATGCATTATTTCTTTGAAAATCTTCGCTCCTGAATATTAAATAAACTAACTAAGTACATAGTTATAATGAGCCCTCTACCAAAATTGTGAATTTTATGGCCCCAGAGTCAGGGGTTCTGGTGTTAGGGCGGGGGGGGGGGGGGGCTAATTAAAATAAAAAAACATCTTTGAACAATTTAAAGCAAATGAAACCTATATAGTTATGAAATCCTAATTTTCAAGAATTGTAAATTTCTTTATCCAGGAATATACTGAAAATGAATGAATTGTTTGATTTTGATATCAATTTTTTTGAAAAGCAGTAATTATGTGTGGATCAAAGCCTTCAAGGATTCCTGTGTGGTAGCGGCAGTAAATTCAAATATTACTGATTTGTTGAAATGCATTTTTTGTTCCCCTACCCTGTGTCATTTTTAGTTTATGTAAATGCTATAGCATCTGGCTTAAAACAAATTCAATCACTATATATTTTGATAAATTTCAATTGGCGTGAATTTTTCATTGGGTGTTTTCTATTTTAATTTAAAAAGATAAAAACGAATGTGAGAAACTTGGATTGTGTGAGAACGGGGGCACCTGCCACAATAATAATGGTTCTTACGTCTGTATGTGTACAGAGGGCTGGCAAGGACAACACTGTGAAAAAGGTGCATAAAAATAACAGTACATATATATGGATGTATATACGATAGTAATTAATATTTAGTACAAAGAGATTTGACAGAAAATAGTCTTCGCTAAATATTATATCATAAACTGTTTTTTTTTTAAATATGAAATATATTTGAAAAAGTTTTACTTATCCTTTTCATATTTTTAGATAAAGACGAATGCAAACAATTTCCTTGCCAAAACAATGGATCATGCATCAACACTGTTGGCTCCTATATGTGTAATTGTACTCCAGGATGGTCCAGTCAAGACTGCAAGATTGGTACTGTCTATTGGAAAATTGCAATATTTTTGATTAAAATTAAAAACATTGTTGTGTCGGAAAAAAATTTGATCTCATTACTGAAATCTAATTTTTTTATGAATGTAGATGTGGACGAATGCAGAGACACGAGTTTATGTCAGAACAATGGTACCTGTCATAACAACAATGGCTCCTATTCGTGTGAATGTATGGAAGGCTGGCAGGGTCAGCACTGTCAGGAAGGTGAGAGAGGGGATCTTGAATCCTGGAAATGCTAAATGATTTATAAAATAAAAGAGGACTTTGAAAAACAAAGTCGAAAGGATCTGCACTTTTCAAATTATATTGTTTCAGATACAAATGAATGTGACGTCATAGGACTGTGTGAAAATAACGGAACGTGTGTGAACAGTAACGGTTCTTATTCGTGTTCCTGTTCTCCAGGATGGCAAGACAAACACTGTCAACAAGGTAGCCATATATTAAGCATGGTGTGTTAATAATCCTAATAAAGGGACCTTGTATTTGTATGTTATGGAAATTTTATTTATAAGATGTAAAGATTTGATTTCCAGGTCAACTCTGAATATATTTACCTCACTGATTGTGGAATGTGTTCTTTGATTTATTAAGTGGTACCAACGCTTACTGTTCATTTAATCTTTCATGAACATAAAAATTCAATTTTGAAAAAAAGATTCACAGAATTTATATTCTTATTTGAAGGTTCTTATTTGAAATAAAAGTCAAATAAAGTTTTACAATAATCAACATTTGTTTTAGATGTAAACGAGTGTAAATTATTTCCCTGCCAAAACAATGGAACTTGTATCAATACTGAGGGATCCTACACGTGTAACTGTACAAAAGGGTGGAATAACAAAGACTGTTTAGAAGGTGAGGGCGTTTAATATCATTACATCACTGTTAAAATAAGTAACTAATAATAGGACCAAATCAACATTATTGTATATACATGTACAGAAAAATATCTCAACTTCCTTTAATAATGATTTTATTTACATTGCAATGGATAGTAATCGCTATACTTTACCATTTAGTTGAATGTGTTTAACATCTGATAGCTTAGAAGACGAAGGAACATAAACAAATCAAATTAAAGTAAATTAATGCCACGATAATTTTTTTCTATCTTTTTTGAAAATAATAATTAATGGTTAACCAAGTAATTGAAAAAGAATTTATTTTATTAACTTATCTGAGATAAATTTATCTTGTTCCTTTGAATAATTGCCTTGCATTTAAAAATATATATACATACAGCCCGGGTTGTCATTAACTTTCTAAATGATTTATAACAAATATTAAAATAATTTTGTTCACATAAAATAAGCTAAAAATCGCTGTCACTTTTCAAATTTAATCATATTTTTTGGTTTATTTACACTTATTCATATCACTTTATGATTGTTATTTACAGATGTAAATGAGTGTATGCAGTTTAGTCCATGTCAAAATAATGGTACCTGTGAAAACAATAACGGTTCCTACACATGTGACTGTACGGAGGGCTGGCAGGGACATGACTGTGAACAAGGTTTTATTCTTATTTAATTTCTTTGTAAATGTGAATTTTAATTTAAATAAAGAAAAGTGTGGGGGAAAATCTTATTTTAATGTTCAAAATTAATATTTAGCATTATGAAAAAGTGTTTATTCAAAGTATAATTTACAATACCAAGAAGCTAATGGGATTTTTTTTCATTTCGTGCAGGTTTATGAACTGATGATTTTATTTGTAACAGTACAAGCCTTGTTGCAATTTTTTTCCATTGTTGATTTAAGTTGTAACTATAAAGTATGTCTATAAAACTATGAAACTTTTTACATCTACACCATGTACATTTAGTAAAAACAAATTAATATCTCTATTTTTAGATATTGATGAATGTAAAATGTATGGTCCATGTCAGAATAACGGTACTTGTAAAAATAACGCCGGTTCTTACAGTTGTGATTGTACGGAGGGTTGGCAGGGACATGACTGTGAGGAAGGTGAATACTTTGATTATTATGAGAACATTTTTAAATCAATGAAATAATTAAAGGACATGATTTTTTTATTCTCATAATTAAAGTATTTTTGGTAATCTTGATAAACTACGAATATGAATTTTATAACCTTTTTGTCTTACATTCCCGTATTGATCTAAATAATTGAATTTTGCAACATTATCTTGATAAATTTTAGATATCAACGAATGCGACGTCATGAATCCGTGTCTCAACAATGGTACATGCAATAATAATAATGGTTCTTACAAATGTGTCTGTATGGAGGGCTGGCAGGGACATGACTGTCAAGATGGTATTTTTTAAAAATTTATTTTTAATTTATTATAATTAATTTTATACGGGGATGCTCACTCCATGGCACCTGATCCCACCCCTGATGTTTTGGAGCTCTGCTCCTATTTTGTATTGTTTTTTGGACTTCTGATATTGAATACTGTTCGCTACCTCCATATGTTTCATCTTGAATACATATATCATTTACAAATGTAAGGGATTGATTATTTGTTTTAAGGCTGTTGATTTTTTAAAATTACAGATGTGGATGAGTGTAAATTTATCAAACCATGTCATAACAATGCAACATGTATTAATAACAATGGATCCTACGTATGTAATTGTACGGAGGGCTGGCAGGGACAACATTGTGAACAAGGTGCGTTTAGAGCACAAGAATTTTGGTTCGTGTATATAAAACCTGTCCTACATGTATGTAGTATGTAAGATCAACATATCAAGGTCTTTAAAATATTTTCTCTTTCGTCTTTAGATATTGATGAATGTAATTTCTTTCCTTGTGAGAACAATGGGTCTTGTATCAACAATAAGGGATCTTATATATGTGACTGTACGGAAGGATGGACGGACAAAGATTGTATAAGTGGTAAAAAAATATTATATAACTCTACATGGGTAAATTATTTTAAGTTTGGAAAATATAACTAAGGTACCATTAAGGAAATGTTTGATTTTTTAGATATAAACGAATGTGAAAAGTTTCATCCATGCCAAAACAACGGTACCTGTATTAACAATAATGGATCCTATTTTTGTAACTGTATGGAGGGCTGGCAGGGACATGACTGTGACACTGGTATTTGTCTAAATATTTTTAAGTGTTGAAAATTAATGATGTTTTTAAATTTAAAACATTATAAATCATACAAATTTATGCTATAGATCGCCTGGAATGTGAATTGTTTCCTTGTGAAAACAATGGAACTTGTATCAACACTCTTGGATCATATACCTGTAATTGTACACAAGGATGGAGTAACAAAGACTGCAAAGAAGGTATGATCCTATATCTAACATTAACTGAATATGAAATATCACAGGCATATATCATTTTTAGACATGTAATTTTATCGATGCAATGGATTGATTTAAATGATGAAATGGTAATATCAATATATTTTTAAAGATTCCAGCACCCGTTTTGAAGTGTTTTTCTTAACATGATATCGTTATGATTTCTTTCAGATGTGAATGAATGTGAACAATTTAGACCATGTCAAAACAATGCTACATGTTTAAACAATAACGGTTCATATGCCTGCGAATGTACAGAAGGCTGGCAGGGACATGATTGCGAAAAAGGTAAAATTAACATTTAACTATATAAAGAAATAATTTTCATGCCACATGTGCGTATAAATAAAAAAAATAATAAACCCTTCTTTTGATGAAGAATATTCTTTTACATTCCAGACATTGATGAATGCGACGTGTTTTATCCATGTGATAACAACGCAACATGTATTAACAACAATGGATCCTACGTTTGTAATTGTACGGAGGGCTGGCAGGGACAGCATTGCGATCAAGGTGTTTATTTTTCAATGTTATAAATACTTAAAAGAATAATAAATATACGAAAAAATAAAAATAAGACCTAATAGAAACTTGTATATGTTCTCTATGTTTACCCGTAGATATTGATGAATGTGAATATTCTCCATGCATGAACAATGGGACTTGTATAAACAATAATGGATCCTATACATGTAGCTGTAGAACTGGGTGGACGCATAAAGACTGCATGGAAGGTTATATAGTTATCTTAATTGAATTTATAATTGATTTGGGAGGAAAATATATTAGGATTTTCTCTTTTATATATATTTACCATCACTGTCAATTTGTATTAAAATACTACATTTTTCTGAAGTATTTATCATTTCATGATATTTTAGATATAAATGAATGTGACCAGTTTAGTCCATGCCAAAATAATGGCACATGTTTTAATAATAATGGTTCCTACACATGTGACTGTATGGAGGGCTGGCAGGGACATGACTGCAAGGACGGTAGGGATTCTCTTTTGAATTATAAATATACGATACTAAGATATTAGGGTTTTTCTACTAAAATATGTGAAAAATAATTATGAATTATTGTTTTCTAGTGATATATTGATATTCATTATCCAACTTTTGATTTAAAACATGAAAACATTACCATATATTTTTGAATCTGATACAAAGTATCTATTTTTAATGTACATCTGTATTTTAGATATTGATGAATGTAGAATTTTTATGCCATGCTACAATAATGCAACATGTTTAAATAACAATGGATCTTACGTTTGCAATTGCGTGGAGGGCTGGCAGGGACATGACTGCGAAAAGGGTATTTCATTTTCACTAATTATAACAATATTGGATAAACTGATAAATGATCTTTGATTTTTTTTCAATCGAATTTGATAAAAATGATAAGCCATAACTTATTTAAGTAAAGAAAGAAAGTTTGAATATTTGATCATAAACTATTAATTTAACATATTGTTTGTTTTTTTAAAGATGTTGACGAATGTAAAATTTTCATGCCATGTGAGAACAACTCTACATGTGTAAATAACAACGGATCATATGTGTGTAATTGTACGGAGGGTTGGCAGGGACAGCATTGTGACCAAGGTAGGATTAATTTCATTCTTTCCATTTTTTCTTCATTTCTCATAAAGTAACCCAATTGTTAATTACAATCTGAAAACAATGTCTCCACCTCCAAGCATTATACCGTATAAGTGGAAATTTTAGCGAGACGCAAATTTAGCGATTTGTCCTTAAAAACTGGTAATTTATTTTTAGCGGGATGTTTTTTAGCGGTTTTAAAATGCACATTAAAGAAGCTATAACAAATAAAATGCAATTAATTTTTAGCGATATTCAGTTTTAGCGATCTCGGCACCCTCGCTAATAATGCCAAAATTAAATCCTCGCTAAAATTTCTACTTATACGGTATACATTGTTCATGTGTTTTATATGTCTAAAATTCTGTAACTAACACATGAAAGTCTTAGTTAGCCTGCTTTCATACAAAGATGCAGAATGTAATCTTTAATGATAAAAACGTAATATTGGGAAAAAAATTGCATGGTTTTTCATTCCTTGTATGATTTTCCTACCTATACCATGAATCATCCGGTACCGCTCACAACAATGGTCCTTTATTTATTTTATTTTTTTGGAGAGAATCCTGAATATTCTAATTTTTTAATTTGTATTATTCTAGATCACTTTATTCATAATTTGTATAAAAGTTAGCATAAGTGGGAAAAATATACCATTTAATTAACAGTAAACTTATCTTAACTTTGATATGAAACAAAATCAAAGTGACACATTTTTCAATATATATTTCTTCCAATTAAATTGCAGATGTGGATGAGTGTAATTTCTTCAGCCCATGTCAAAACAATGCTACGTGTATTAACAACAATGGATCCTACGTGTGTAATTGTACGGAGGGTTGGCAGGGACAACATTGTGAACAAGGTGCGATAAATGGACAAGAGTCCTATCTAAGCAATTGGAGTTAATTTGATACTCTGATAAGTAAGATAACTCCAACAAGCATATAACTATTATTTATACACTTAATTTCTAAGCCATTTTTGCTAAAGTTTGTTACATAAGAGGTACCGAAATTGTGTGTATTAAATATAAATTTCTTTTGAATAAATATAAGCGCTAATGACACGTTTTATATGAGTGCTCAGAGGGATGATAAGTCTTCAGATAACTTAACTTACAAACTTCAAAAAACTATTGTTTAAAAATAAATTTCAGATATTAATGAATGCAAATTTTCGCCCTGTGAAAACAACGGCACATGTATAAACAATGATGGATCTTATACATGTAACTGTACGGAGGGATGGACAGAAAAAAATTGTGGAGAAGGTAAAACATGTTGAGAAACCCGGTGGGTTTTTTTTCATTGACATCAAACTATTTATTCTGTCAAATATTTCTTGTCAGAAAAAAGGTAATAATAATAATTCAATCTAAATTTGATATCAAAGTTCAAAGCTTTGAAAAATCATTTAAGGAATTACCCGATAATATAATAGATCATTTCATATTATTTAAACAAAAAAGATATCTTGAAGAGTAAGACAAGGCTTTTATTTCATCTTCAGACGTAAATGAATGTGAGCAGTTCAAACCATGTCAAAACAATGGAACTTGTTATAACAATAACGGCTCCTACACATGTGACTGCATGGAAGGCTGGCAGGGACACGATTGCGAGAAAGGTAATATAACTCTATTGAAGAGAACGGAATAACTTTAAGAGAGAAAATATGAAGGTCATCTAAAAGTTTTATTCAGTTTCCCTTTAATTTAAGTTTTTTTATTTAGATATTGACGAATGTACGATGTTCTTTCCATGTGACAATAATGCTACATGTGTGAATAACAATGGATCTTACGTGTGCAACTGTACGGAGGGTTGGCAGGGACATGACTGTGAAAAAGGTTATTTAATTTATGTTTTTTTTTAAATTTCAAATTAGTCATTTCATTATCAGTTCTTTTTAAACAATTAGGAATAAATCTTGATTAATAGCACATAGCTAATGGTTTTTATCTCATTTTCAGACGTTGATGAATGTGACCAATTCAAACCATGTCAGAACAATGGAACTTGCATTAACAATAATGGTTCATACACATGTGACTGTATGGAAGGCTGGCAGGGACACGATTGCGAAAAAGGTATGAATTATGTAGTAATGTAACTCTATTGAAGAGAACGGAATAACTTTAAGAGAGAAAATATGAAGCTCATCTAAAAGTTTTATTCAGTTTCCCTTTATTACATGCATTTTTTATTTAGATATTGACGAATGTACAATGTTCTTTCCATGTAACAATAATGCTACATGTGTGAATAACAATGGATCTTACGTGTGCAACTGTACGGAGGGTTGGCAGGGACATGTCTGTGAAAAAGGTTATTTAATTTATGTTTTTTTTTAATTTCAAATTAGTCATTTCATTATCAGTTCTATTTAAGCAATTAGGAATAAATCTTGATTAATAGCACATAGCTAATGGTTTTTATCTCATTTTCAGACGTTGATGAATGTGACCAATTCAAACCATGTCAGAACAATGGAACATGTATTAACAATAATGGCTCCTACACATGTGACTGTATGGAAGGATGGCAGGGACATGACTGTGAAAAAGGTATGAATTTTTTTGTCTTGTAAATCCGTGAAGAAAGCGGAATATTTGAGTGCAGACTGTAAGCATGATGAGAGAAAACATGAGAGGCATCTAAAAGTAGCAATCATTTCCCCTTGTTTTCTTTACTTTAGATATTGACGAATGTACAATGTATTTTCCATGTAGCAATAATGCTACATGTATAAATAACAATGGATCTTACGTGTGCAACTGTACGAAAGGCTGGCAGGGACATGATTGTGAAAAGGGTATGTTATTTACGTAAATAATGATATGAGGAAATTTGTGTATAATGGTAAATTTAAAAAAAGAGATGAATATAAAGGAAAATGATATTATCTCAAAAGAAACAATAATATGTTGGAATCATTCAAATGTATAACGATGTTTTATCAAAATCTTTAAAAAATCATTGATGTTTTTAAAAAAAAAAAATAATTTGCTGAATAATTTTATATGATCATAAAATTATAAATATATACATGCATGCTTTCTTTAAAGATGTTGATGAGTGTAAAATGTTCATGCCTTGTGACAACAATGCCACATGTGTAAATAACAACGGTTCCTATATCTGTAACTGTACGGAGGGCTGGCAGGGACAACACTGTGACCAAGGTACAATTTATATCTAATTTTACTGCAAGACTGAATAAAATTATCTATCTATATCAGCTATCCATGCATAGATTTTTAATTACGTTCCGTTTGATTTTAATTAGATATTGACGAATGTATTTTCTCACCCTGTGAGAACAATGGGTCTTGTATCAATAATAATGGATCCTATACCTGTAACTGTACAACTGGCTGGTCAAATACAGACTGCAAAGCGGGTAATAATAATCTCCGCAATTTTATAATGCTACAAAGTATGTTTTATTATATATAAATGTGACCTTTTATTTTGGTATAAAAAAGTTGTGAAATATCCACTTCCTGTAAATTTCTTTAGATGTTAATGAATGTGTGCAGTTTAGTCCATGTCAAAACAATGGTACTTGTGAAAACAATAATGGTTCCTATACATGTCAGTGTACGGAGGGTTGGCAGGGTCATGATTGCGATACAGGTATAAAATATTTTGAATCATGTCCAATGTTAAAGAATACTTTGCCACTTAAAGAACAAGATTACTCAGATTTTGTCAAAGGAAATCATGAATTATTGAAAATCTGTATTTAGAAACTTTGTTTTCCTTTTTATTTCCATTTTTTTAAAAAGACGATTTCATTATATTTATTAAACCAATATAAAATGACCTATAATAAATGATAATTCTTTATTATAGATATTGACGAATGTAAAATATTCTCTCCATGCGACAACAATGCAACATGTTTGAATAACAATGGATCTTACGTTTGCAAATGTACGGAGGGCTGGCAGGGACAACACTGTGAAGAGGGTAATTATTTCCCTTCAATGAGATTTTCTATAAAGAAGAAAAAGAGCATCTAAAGAAAATATTTTTGTAATTTGAAAATAAATGATAATCGTTTAGAAACATCTGATCAATAAGGAAAATCTTTAAGTTAGTCTGCAGTTTTTAAAATGCATAATTAAAAATAACAAGAAAGATATTTTGTGATAAAGAAACTGTTTAGCTTGCAACGATTCTTGTGCGTGAAAGTGTTATCTTTTTAAGATATTGACGAGTGTAAAATATCCTCGCCTTGTGACAACAACTCTACATGTATAAACAACAATGGATCATATGTGTGTAATTGTACAGAGGGTTGGCAGGCACAGCATTGTGATCAAGGTTTGACTCGCTTATGTATAAATGGTTTCACTTTTAATTTATGCCACCTGTATAATTTTGTTTGGTATCAGTCATCTGAATATTTTATGTTTTCATTAGATATTAATGAATGCAGTTTCTCGCCCTGTGACAACAACGGAACATGTATAAACAATAATGGATCTTATACATGCAACTGTAGAGAAGGATGGACAGCCAGGGACTGCACAGAAGGTTCTCATTTTTTTTAAACTTTCTTGAATAAACAAAGTTTCATTTATGAAACGAAACATATAGAGATAACAAACAGTATTCCAGATCAAAAGGCCATAAAACAATACAAAATAGGAGCAGAGCAAACACGGACCTCAACCACATCACAGGTGGGATCAGGTGTCATGGAAGAGTGAGCATCCCCTGCTGACCGGTCACACCAGCCGTGTGCTCCTCGTTATAATCGGGAAATAACGGAAAAATCTGTCGTCAGTCCTGTATATATATATATATATATATATATATATATATATATATATATATATATATATATATATATATATATATATATGTATGTATATGTATACATGGCGAATCTGTGTTAAAACATAATTATACGAGATTGAGTGTATATATGCATATACACATGTATATCTGGCATATGGCATTTACATTCAAATGAAAACATGACCGATTTTTGTTAAATTTGTGGAATCAATAATAAATATGATTATATTTTAAATAATTTATATCGATTAGTTTAAAATAATTTATGTAATTTAAAGAAAAGTTCTATTTTTTTATGTAAGATTATAAAAAAGTAGACAAATATGCACAATAAATTGGCTATATTATATTATAAATATTATGCCAATGAGTTCAAATTATTTGTATAATAATCCAGGAACATATACCTTCTTTATATTGAGCTCTAAATTCTTGTAGTCAATGTGCATAAATTTATTAAATATTTATCTAAATATGTATTTTTCTGAAATTTGAAACACACAGCAAGTTGGATAAAAATAAACAAATAATGAATGGGAAATTTCTATTTATCTTATTTATCTCACCTCAAAGTTTTTTAATCAAGTTCAAAAATTCATTTCCAGACATAAATGAATGTCAGCTGTTTAGTCCATGCCAGAACAATGGTACATGTTATAACAACAATGGTTCCTATGTGTGTGATTGTACGGAGGGCTGGCAGGGACATAACTGTAAAGACGGTGAGATTTATTTCATGTACTGTGTAAATGAAAATGAAATACTGTATAAAAGTTACAATGAAACAAAAAAAAGTGTAAAAATATATTTACAGTACATCTAAATTCATACGCTTACTTTAATAATATATGAAAATAAAATTAAGATTGAAGAATACTATTCAAGTCTTTTGAGAAAAAAATATTCTCTTTATATGAATAAATATAGATATCTTAATTTTAGATATTGACGAATGTAAAATATTCTCCCCTTGCTACAATAATGCAACATGCGTGAATAACAACGGATCTTACGTCTGCAATTGTAAGGCGGGCTGGCAGGGGCATGACTGTGAAAAGGGTATAATCATCTTCTTTATAGCTTAATAGTGAATGAAGTGTTCTAATAGTTTAAAAATGGATTTGCCACTCACTCCGTATTTTACGGTAATTTTGCAATATATTTTATTTCTTTTTACAAAGATATTGACGAATGCAAAATACTTTCGCCATGTGACAACAACTCTACATGTATAAACAACAATGGATCATATGTGTGTAATTGTACGGAGGGTTGGCAGGCACAGCACTGTGATCAAGGTTTGATTCGCTTATATTAAAAATCTTAAATTTTACGGTAAACACTTTATATCAGAAGTATGTCTTGTTTGTATGAATTTGCACCAAGCTTTCAATGATCAAATAAAGCATTTGATTGATTTATGTTTTTATTAGATATTGATGAATGTAATTCCTTTCCTTGTGAGAATAACGGGACTTGTATAAACAATAACGGATCTTATACCTGTAACTGTAATACTGGGTGGGCAGATAAGGACTGCAAAAAAGGTACTCTATAATAAAGCAGAATGTGATGCAAATATGTATTAATTTTATTGATCGTTGCTTTTTCTACGATTTTTAGAAAAAAAAAATTTGAAAATATTAACTTTTTTACTTACATCATTTTATGATGTTTACTTCAGATGTTAATGAATGTGATCAGTTTAGTCCATGCCAAAACAATGGCACATGTTTTAACAATAACGGTTCCTACACATGTGACTGTATGGAGGGCTGGCAAGGACATGACTGCGAAAAAGGTATGATTATTTTAAGCCACATTTCTTATGTTTCCATTGAAAGTTAAGAATGTAGTAAACATGTCCTTATCAATAAGAGAGACAATCAAATAAAACTTGCAAATAAGCTCTTCAAAATTCAGTTTCAAACTTAAAGTCTCAAATTGAAATTCCTTTCTTTTCTCCAGATGTCAATGAATGTAATTTCTCTCCCTGTGAAAATAACGGAACTTGCATAAACAATGATGGATCTTATACATGTAACTGCACAGAAGGATGGACGGCTAAAGACTGCAGAGAAGGTGAGAATGCATCTTTGGAGAAGCCTTACTTTTTCAAGGAGATGATATTTTTATGTAACAAATGCTTTTGAAATTTTAATTAAAATTCCTCGATTTTGATTTCTCCTTTCAGATGTCGATGAATGTCTGACGATAATGCCTTGTTTAAATAATGGAACATGTATCAACAATAATGGATCATACCATTGTAATTGTTCCCTGGGTTGGCAAGGATACACCTGCAAGAAGGGTAATTTTAACACATGAGCTAAAATTAAATGGTAACCTGTAATAAGTAGATTTTAATACATATCTGAAATTATTTATTAATGTTTAAATATGTAGCTTTCTAGAACATTTTGTCAGAATGACAGAGACTTAATTTGAACTCATATTATGTTGATTGACTTAATGTAAAAAATAAACCTTTTTTCAGACGTAAATGAATGCAATGAAATTCCATGTGAAAATAATGGAACTTGCATCAACAACGAAGGGTCCTTTACCTGTGAATGTTTAAATGGATGGAATGGAAAACTCTGTCATATAGGTGATAAATTTTGATTTCACTAAGTCCATTACATTCCTAAATTCCACATATTTCTCTTATTAGTTTTATTCTGATTTATATTAATTGCGAAATTTAATTACACGTCCTTTTAATGAGGTAATAAGTTTGTTTTACAGACAGCTGTTTATTACTCAGAAGGTATAAATCATACATGTGTATATAACAGTATATATCCTATGTCCTCCCTTTGTATCATTTATATTCCTACCAATATTTCCCTTCAAACCCCTAACTGTCCATGTCTAAACCAGGGTTCGCAGACACATCAAAATTATTTGAAATAAGATCAGTGGATAGGCATTAAAAGATGTTTATATGTGTTTCTATTTTTCAGGGGTAGACTTATGAAAATTCATTTTACCTCGAGCTTTATTTTTTTTATGCAGATGAAGACGAATGTGAGTTGTATTCACCCTGTGACCATGGTTTTTGTATCAACACCAATGGCTCCTATATCTGTGATTGTGAGGACGGATGGCAAGGGCAAAACTGCACTGAAGGTTATATCTAATTTCAAATTCAACTGTTTGATTAAGCGTGGAACAGTTACTTTGGAAGGAATAATGGGCATAAATAATTGGACCTGACTAAATTTTTATCAAGATATTTTTTTATTCATAAAAATGATTTTTATTGAAGAAATTTTCTATTTATACACACTAGACGCTAACGAGTGTCAGCTGATTGGAGTATGTGAAAATGGCGGAAGCTGTTTGAATACTAACGGATCTTATGCATGCCAATGTACGAAGGGCTGGGAGGGACAACATTGTGAAAATGGTCAGTTACATATATTTAGGGCCTGATGGAAAACTGTTATCATTTGTTTGAGGATTTGTTTTCTGTTTGAATATTCTTTTTTTTTATTTTATTCCCTAGATATAAATGATTGTAATGTGACACAGCCATGTCAGAACAACGGAACCTGTGAAAATACATTTGGGTCCTACATCTGTAACTGCCAACAAGGCTGGCAGGGTCAAAATTGTCACAAAGGTACAATTACATTGATTTCATTCCATGGTTATCCATTACATTATATTAACAAACTTTTAACTCAATTATTGATGTTACAGATGTGAATGAATGTAATATCGAACCGTGTGAAAACAACGGGACATGTCACAACAATAACGGATCCTACACGTGTGAATGTATGGAGAACTATCAGGGACAACATTGTGAAGATGGTATATATTTGATGAAAGGATAAGAAAAATGAAAATATTCGTAAAATGTGTATAACCTGAGGTTGTAATGTGTTTCTATTGTAATTATGTACTTTGGAATTCCTACACATATTGATACAATGTATATCACAATATCGCACAGTATGTCCAAATATCAAAAATCTCATTGATCTATATTTTATATATATATATATATGGCATTTTTAATATATGTTAATTTATTATTATATGTTAATTTTATTTTTGATTCACTAGATATTGACGAATGTACTGTAAAGGAACCGTGTGAGAACAATGGGACCTGTATTAACAGTTTTGGGTCTTACGAGTGTAACTGTGAGAGTGGCTGGCTGGGAAAACACTGTGAAACAGGTATGCTGTGTCTGTACATGACAACTTATAATAGTCTCATTTATAACGAATTCTTCAAATATTTCGAAATTACATCAACATTATTTTTTTTATCTATAATTGATTAAATCATACAAGAGACAGAACCGTCGCTAAAGTTAAATGCTGTTGAATGCAAATCCTGGCCTTGTGGAAATAACGAAGCAATTTATATCATAGTTCAAACGGTATTTCTAATACGAGTTATATTATTAATATTATTTTTAATTGACTAGATGTAGACGAATGTATCGTTAACCCTCCATGCCAAAATAACGGTACTTGTGTTAACAACAATGGTTCCTACACGTGCGTTTGTACCGAGGGATGGGGAGATAAAAATTGTCAAACAGGTACATAGTATCTCATTTCAAATCAATGTCACATACCCTATGTGTGTATGTCTCATACCTTGAAATATATTTTCAATTAAATATAAAATTTAAAAAGATATGCATGTATAGGAAATTCACAAAAGTCTTGCTTTTTAGATGTCGATGAATGCACCCGCTATTCTCCATGTCAACATAACGGAACATGTATAAACAATGAAGGGTCATACTCCTGCGACTGCAGAACAGGGTGGGAAGGTTTCAATTGTGAAAAGGGTGATTTTTCTACCTATTCCTTCTTATTTTTTACGGATGCAATTTTCGTTTCAGTTATGAATAAGGTTTTTAATCTGAAATTGAAAAAGTTAAGTTTAATCTTTATGTTGAATTTCTTTGTCTTTAGACACAAACGAGTGCTCTTTTGTGCCATGTCTTCATAATGGAACCTGTATCAACACAGATGGATCATATTATTGTAACTGCACAGACGGATGGCAAAACAAAGACTGTAAAGATGGTAAGTAAAAACCATACAAGTATTATGTTTCATAGTTCATACATGTATAAATTACATCCATTCATTTTAGGAATTACATCCCATGTTTTGCTTTACCACTGTTGAAATGACTAAGCAATACCTTATAAGGATAAGTTTATATTTCAGATTTTGACGAATGTGCCGTGCTGGATCCATGTCAGAATAATGGTACATGCTACAATAATGAAGGTTCCTACACATGTAATTGTGTGGAGGGCTGGCAGGGGTATAATTGTGATCAAGGTAATATTCAATTAACAATTCCATGATAATACCAACAAATTGTTTTATCAAAAAAGGCAAAAGATTTAATTTAAATCTAATTTCTGATCTAATTTCTGATCTAATGATAGACTCTGTTTCATTAGATATAAGTACAACACGATCATCCTAAAATAACTTTTAACAAAATAAATAAACCTTTAACTTGTATTCTTGTTCTTTAGCAATAACTACATAAGCATTTATTAGCATTTTTATCTTTTATTTTACATAATAATAAGCATATACACATCTTTAGCAATAACTACAATATTAACAATAAGAATTCAAATATGAAGCAATGACTGAGGCAAATTCAAACGGAAAATCATTTTTTCCTTAAAGTGTCGGCAATTTTATACCAAATAGACTGCATTTTCATGTATTGTTAAAACGCAGATTACTAGACCAATTCATATTAAAAAAGGGGGTGGGGTGATAACGATTCCAAAATCTTGAATTAATCATACAGCAAAAGTCATAGGAACGATGGAAAATTGGAGAAATATATACACGTATTAGCAGAAAAACTGGTCAGTTAAAGTGGTTTATATTTTTGTTCCTTTTACTATCTTATGGTGATTTATTTATTTACCGGTATTTTAGACGAAAATGAATGTGAATATGACCCCTGTCAGAATAACGGAACGTGTGTTAACGTCAGAGGATCGTATGGTTGTGTTTGTACAGAAGGATGGATAGGACAACACTGCCAGGAAGGTATAATGTTCAGATGGCGTATATCTGTGAACATATTTATTACGTTCTAATTTCCATTGTATAAAAATCACTTGTTTTTTATTTTCTTTTTAATTTGAAAGAATAAATAATAATTTTTACTTGATGTGCTTTGGTAACAAAATAATTGATCTTTATGTAAATGCATTTATAGATTCATTAGTACCCAATTTCTTTTTTTTTCTCTTGAAGATGTGAATGAATGTTTGACGGGAGAGATTTGTCAAAATAACGGAACTTGTGTGAACAATAATGGATCCTACACATGTCTATGTACGGATGGCTGGTTAGGACAACATTGTGATGATGGTAAAAACTCTCTCTCTGTCTCTCAATATTGACAAATTCGTTTAATAATCATATACATCACGAAATCAATTTGTTTTTACTCTACAGATGCAGACGAATGTGCCGTTGAACCTTGTTTCAATAACGGAACGTGCATAAACAACTTTGGCTCATACGAATGTAAATGTTCAAAAGGATGGCAAGGCGGTAACTGTGAAAAAGGCAAGTATAGAGGCCCAAAAAAGACAAAGCGATCACTAGTTATTCCACTCTTCAGTATTTTTTTCTTTTTCATTTTGTTTCAATATTTTGTTTGTATATTTTCAGATGTAGATGAGTGTTTGAATTTCCCATGCCAGAACAATGGTACCTGCTTTAACACAGAGGGTTCTTATTTTTGTAACTGCACAGAAGGATGGACAAACTATGACTGCGAGAAAGGTATTTTGAAATATTTTTTAAACAATCAACTTATGCAATATGTTATCAGTATTTAGCGATAATGTGGCGGTACAACAGGGGGTCAAATTTTTACTCAGTGAGTTGAAATTTAATAGAACAAAAACCTTTATCTTATCTGGAACTGAATTTCTTTTAAATATATTTTTATATATTAAATATATTTATATATAAAATATAAAAATCATGCGACTTTTTATATTTATCTAGATGTTAATGAATGTGATGATATCACAATCTGCCAAAATAACGGAACGTGTTCGAACACTGAAGGCTCCTACGTGTGCGGCTGTATTGAAGGCTGGCAGGGACAGCATTGTGAAATAGGTATAGTGATTGATGTATAGTGTAATAATTGATAGCTTAGCTTTACTTATGAAATTCTTTCTTCAAATCGTCCCGTGGGGATCCGGGTTAGAATAGGTCCTCAGTACCCCCTTGCTTGTCGTAAAAGGCGACTAAATGGGGCGGTCCTTCGGATGAGACCATATAAACCGAGGCCCCGTGTCACAGCAGGTGTAGCACGATAAAGATCCCTCCCTGCTCAAAGGCCGTAAGTGCAGAGCATAGGCCTAAATTTGCAGCCCTTCACCGGCAATGGTGACGTCTCCATATCAGTGAAATATTCTGGAGAGGGACGTTAAACAGTATACAATCAATCAATCAATCATTCTTCAAATCATTACGAATTTTTCAATTTTTCCTTCACCAAAATGGATCTAATTTGAAATCTTCAGATACAAATGAATGCCTTGTAAGCCCGTGTGAGAATAATGGAACATGCATTAACACTATCGGATCCTATATCTGTAATTGTGAGGATGGCTGGCAAGATCAAAACTGCAGAACTGGTGAATATTTTACTAGTATTTCATCAACCTATCACAATACGCAGGCTATTAACGATCAATATTTTTCATTGGAACTAAGAATTTATTTTAATTAAAAAAAAATTGACTTGCCTTTAACGCATAAATTTGGATATATTTTCAGATGTTGATGAATGCATTGAATACAGTCCATGCCGGAATAATGGCACATGCATAAACAATGAAGGATCTTATGTATGTAACTGTACGGAGGGCTGGCAGGGACAACATTGTCAAGAAGGTATTCATTGTAATAAATATGTATATCATGAACTGAACAATCCCTTGAAAGGTTTGCAGATATTTTATATTTTTTTTTCAATTTAAGATGAGAATGAATGTCTCCAAGCACCTTGTCAGCACAATGGTACATGCACAAACAGCATTGGGTCCTACACCTGTACATGTGAAGACGGGTGGGAAGATAAAGATTGTAAAGAAGGTGATTAAATCAAACTCTTTCTTATCTATTGTTCTTGTATAATTTTTGTTGATTTAACTTTGCATTTGAATTATTTACTTATTTTCTACTTAGATCGAGATGAATGTTTGGATTTCCCTTGTCAAAATAACGGCACCTGTATGAACACCTATGGTTCTTATACCTGCACCTGTTCAGAGGGTTGGGAAAGCCATGACTGCGAAAAGGGTAAAGTATATACTCGATATATGAAATTATTAATGTTTATGGTATAATCCTTATGTAATGTGTATGTGATTCTCGACTGAAGGAAAGTGTCTGAAGGTTGATTTGTAAAATATGTACGTTTTAGATATAAATGAATGCACTGTGTTTGAGCCATGTCAGAACAATGGAACTTGCAACAACAACGATGGTTCTTACAGTTGTTCGTGTGAACTAGGGTGGAGAGGCAAGCACTGCGATAGAGGTAAGGTTTTTTTACCTACAAAAGTGGATTTACTCTAGCAAAAAGAAATTAGGACTTTAAAAAACATGTAGCATTTATGATCATCAAAAAATTGTGTTGAATTATGGACTGTTATCCTACTGTTTTCTTCAATTTTTGTCTTATTTTAACCACTTCCGGTTTGAATACGAGTTAATTTAGATATCTGTTATTACATTGTACAAAGAAATAGCACACTTAAACATGTCTATAACTAACAGATATAGACGAATGTACGGAGGTAGCACCTTGTACTAACAATGGGACATGTAATAACAATGCTGGGTCATACACTTGTGATTGCGACAGGGGATGGACGGGACAACATTGTGAAACGGGTAAATATGTCCCTTTTATTTTGTAAATTAATAGACATGGTAACTGAGCTGAAAGCCACAAGCCTTTTCAAATTATTCAATATAAAACAGTTCCTTGTTATACAATGGAAATAAGATAAAAGAACAAAGAACATTCTTTGATTTTTGTATGTGCTCCAAGCTGGACAGAAAATAACTTTTAACTTATGTTCTGTCTCTGGATGAGTCTTTGTACTTTGTGAACCATTTATGTGTTTGATACGTTGAATAAAGTACTAGTTTTTGTTTCATATTTTCATGTGTAGATATATATGCATATAAATTCAAAAACTAATACTGATAAATAAATGAATGAATTTAAATTTATTTTTTATTTTAAATAATAAGATATCGATGAGTGCCAACTCTACCCATGTGAGAATAATGGCACGTGCATTAATTCAATGGGATCCTACGGATGTAATTGTACGGAGGGGTGGCAGGGACAAGACTGTCATATTGGTAAGTCCTTAATTTTATGTTATCACTATCATCATTTGCAGGATTTCTGTAAAGGTATTATTCTAAACTGTGAAAAAATAATTGTATCTTTCCATGATAAAATAGATAATATTAAATTCGTTTCTTTTCATAACCTTTTTCTTAACACTTGTTCACGTTTCTGGAAACAGATGTGGACGAGTGCAGTTTATATTCCCCTTGTGAGAACAACGGTACATGTTACAATGATGAAGGGTCTTATACGTGTGATTGCAAGAAAGGATGGAGTGGGAGACATTGCGATATAGGTATAAAAGTCACACATCTGGGGAATCGTTAGAAATTAAAATGATTTCATTTTAAAAACGTCAAGTTTGAAAGTGTACGTTGGATTTAATCCATTTCAGATATTAATGAGTGTTTAATGTCTCCTTGTAAAAATAATGGCACGTGTTATAACACTGAGGGATCCTATATTTGTGAGTGTACGGAGGGCTGGCAGGGAAAACACTGCGATGGTGGTAAGAAACAAAAATAATATTAAAATAATTTATACTTAACTATTCATGTCCTATAAAACATTTCTTCTTATTTATATTTCAAAATTAAAAAAAAAAAATGAAAATTGATTTTGTCAAAAAAATAGCCCGTGGATAATAAGTAGATGCCATTTCTATTCACAGATAATGATGAATGTGCCTCATACCCATGTCTTAATAATGGCACCTGTGTTAATAACGTGGGATCCTACTCGTGTGAATGTGTCAAGGGGTGGATTGGAGATATTTGCCAAATAGGTGAAAAATAATAGGGTTTTTTTAAAGTTCTTTCTTACTTCTATTTTTCATACGATATATTTCTTTTAATTTGATATGTATATATTCTATAGATGACAATGAATGCAAAGCGGCCGGTGGCTCTCCTTGTCAACATAACGGGACGTGTATCAATACACTAGGTTCTTACCAATGTGACTGCACAGAGGGCTGGCAAGATCAAAACTGTGAAAAAGGTACGAGAGAAATCTTCCAAAAATTCCAATCACGCATTGAAGATATAAAGTTTTAATCAATAATGGACTAATGTTTTTGCAGATATTAACGAATGCGATGTGAATGACCCCTGTCAAAATAATGCTACCTGCATCAACAGCGATGGATCCTATAAATGTGATTGTGTAAAGGGGTGGAGAGGTCAAAACTGTGAAAATGGTATAGAAATTTAATTTTCTGGTATAAAACAATTATTCAAATTAGTTGGTTTCCAAATTGTGAGCGCTTATAAACAATTTTAGAATAGTTATTTTTATGTAATTATTTCAATATTAGATATTGACGAATGCCTAGAAAATGCCCCATGTCAGAATAATGGAACCTGTCTGAATAATGAAGGATCGTATGCATGTAATTGTACGGCCGGCTGGCAGGGACAACACTGTAATGAAGGTGGGATATTAAAGCTATCATAAGATCGCATGTATGTAATGTAAATGTACGGCGGGCTGGTAGGAGCAACACTTTTTTGATGTAGAATACTAAAACTATCGAAAGTTTTGAAAATAAAGTTATAATCATGATTTCTAACGAAGTACTTAGAGATGTTATGTATTCTTATTTTTTGCAGACGTTGATGAATGTACAGTAATGGACCCTTGTCGGAATAATGGGATATGTACAAACAATGAGGGCTCCTATTTCTGTACGTGTACACCAGGGTGGACAGGAAAACATTGCAAAAAAGGTATAGCAATTCATATATTTACTACCTATCATTATGTATGAATTTCTTTACTTGAAATCAAAGTTTAAAATGTGATTATTGTTTTAATTTTTAAGATGTGGACGAATGCATAGAATTCCAACCTTGTCAAAATAATGGAACTTGTATGAATAACGATGGTTCTTACACGTGTGACTGCATGGCAGGTTGGACAGGGCATGATTGTGAAACGGGTATGCATCTTTAACATTGTTTGAATTATTGATATAATGTTTAGATTTTAAAACAAATATTTCATAAGCTTGACGTTTCAGTTATGAAAAAAATGAAAGAAAAAGTCATTTTCTTATGGTGGCGTCTCTCTTTTAGTAAAACATTTTCAATGGGAACAAAAAAAGACCTAATAACAATTAATCAATCAATCTTTCAATTATGAAGAATAGTTATATAAGTATTTGAATGATTCTAGATGTGGATGAATGCAGTAACTCACCATGCAGACATGGCGGTATATGTATCAATGACCTAGGATCATACTTCTGTAATTGTACGAAAGGCTGGTCGGGACAAAATTGTCAAACAGGTTTGTCAATCCTCGAAAGAGAAGACTTTGTAATAACTAGTATCCTGGTTTTTTTTTTTTAAATACGTACATATTAAAATTATATAAATTTGGTTTATTGATTTAAAACTTTTGGTCATGCTCATTTTACGATCATTAAAACTTGTGTGTCAATGTATATTTAATCTCGTTTTTCTAGACGTCAATGAATGTGAGTTCTCTCCCTGCCAGAATAACGGAACATGTATTAACACCGTGGGCTCCTACACGTGTGACTGCGATAATGGATGGCAAAGTAAAGACTGCGAAATCGGTACGAAATATTCCGCCGGGTTCTTTTGTTTTAATTATATGCATATATCTTTTACTGATTTTTTTCTATTTATCATCCTTTTTTATTGCACTGAATGATTATCCTTATAAAAATTACTAAATAGGACGTTGTTTTCTTTATGTATTGTTCTTCCAGATGTTGATGAGTGTTTGAACTCCCCATGTCACAATAACGGAACGTGCATCAACAATGAAGGCTCATACATGTGTTCCTGTGCCCCGGGGTGGATGGGTCCCAATTGTGAAAATGGTACCCATTTTATTTTCTAATTTACAACCGACATAAAATACGACCTTTGTTATATATTTATTTATTAATCATCATTAACTACTTTTTAGACTTGAACGAATGCGATGATTCGCCATGCCAGAATAATGGAACCTGCCATAATAACCTAGGGTCTTACAAGTGTGATTGTACAACGGGATGGCAGGGCAAAGACTGCGACACTGGTACGTTTCTTATACTTTTTTTGTTTAAAAAATTGTTTAGATTCTAGCGATTTATTTAGAGATTTTATATATTTATGATAATTATCTTGCAGATGTAAATGAATGTGACAATTCACCGTGTCAAAATGGCGGCAATTGTATAAACAGTGAAGGCTCTTATGCTTGTGATTGTACGGAGGGCTGGGAGGGACAAAACTGTGAAAAGGGTAAAGAAGTTCACAAGGACTTAGAAATTTAAATATGTAAAATGAATTCATGTACAGCCTAGAATTTTTTTTAATTGATGTTTTTAATTGGAACAGATATTAATGAATGTGATGACATGCCATGCGAACACAACGGAACGTGCATAAACACCCTGGGATCTTATGACTGTGATTGTAAGATAGGCTGGACGGGACAAAATTGCAAGAAAGGTACCATAACGTTTTGTCATGAGTCTACTAACAAAACTAAAATAATTAAAAAATTCTCTGTTAATTTATATCTGTACTATACATACAGACGTCAATGAGTGCGATAATTCCCCCTGCCAAAACGGTGGAACATGCGTCAACAACAATGGTTCCTATTATTGTATTTGTACAAAGGGATGGATGAGCAGCAAAACAGATTGTGAATCAGGTAATGAAGATAAGGATTGATTAGTTATAGTGCAAAAATTGGTATAATTCATTTAAAAAAAAGCAATATTTTATTTTTACTTTTCTTTTCAAAGATGTGAATGAATGTCTTGATAACCCATGCCAACATAATGGAACCTGCATAAACAACCAGGGATCGTACGACTGCGCATGTACAGATGGTTGGCATGGCGAGGATTGCAAAGAAGGTACGCAGTCCCACATGGAATCCTAAATGTTTAATACCTGTTGTTTTACATGATGTTTCATTTATGTTTTCTTTATTTTTTTTTTCACAGATCGTGATGAGTGTGCTAATTCCCCTTGTCAAAATGGCGGAGTTTGTTTGAATACCGCCGGATCATACACTTGTAGCTGTAAGGAAGGGTGGGAGGGAGATGATTGCCAGGATGGTAAGATTTTGTATCTTTATCACAGAAAAGCAAAATGATCTTTCAATTTGGAACCAAAATCAAAACTCCCGAATGGATCGCAGTGTATTTTTTTGAAGTGTGTCTGTTTCAAAGTTAAATTTTTGTATTTATTAGATAAGAATGAATGCCTTTCTTCACCTTGTCAAAACAATGGAACGTGTATCAACAATCCAGGATCCTATAAATGTGATTGTAACAACGGATGGACAGGCAAAGACTGCAGAGAAGGCGAGAAATTACTTACTCACATTTGTTTATATTAAATCCATATATCGGCATGATTGTTTAGGCACGATTTTATATTGGTAATATATAAATCCCTCTTTTTGTAGATGTCAATGAATGCAATAACGACCCCTGTAACAATGGTGGGATATGTATGAACACGGACGGATCCTATTATTGTAACTGTACGGAGGGGTGGCAGGGATATGACTGCGAGCAAGGTCTGTATTCTAGCGCTGATGCCTTCTAATCCTTAAGAACTTTTTAAAAAATGTTTTTGAAACCTGATGCAGCAGAAATCTTTGGATTTTGCATTGTATATGTGTTTAATGTCTCCTAATACATCTTTGCAGATAAAAATGAATGTGAAAATTCGCCTTGTCAACATAACGGTACCTGTGCCAATTCACTGGGATCCTATTATTGCCATTGTACGGAAGGCTGGCAGGGCAAACAATGCGACGAAGGTAACAAAGTAGTTATAGGTGCATCATTGGGCAAAAATAAGTACTTATTTTCTTTCGTATAAAGATAAACTCATGCAGCTAGATGATTTATGTTGAAAAGCAAAATACACAATGTAAAGGTATTTATTTTTCTTTTAACGAAATCTAACAAACTTGATGAAATACAACTGGAAAAGAATACGCTAAAGCTTTATACATCGTAATAATTTACTAGGATTAAGAGAAAATCAAATGATAAAAAAATGTATCATCCTACCAATTGTTTTCAATTGAACTACGGTGACATGCAGTGTTTCTTAATACTTATCAAAATGTTTTAACTTCCATGTATTTACCACAGACGTTGACGAGTGCCTGACCTCCCCCTGTCTTAATGGCGGCACATGCCTCAACAATGAAGGATCATTCACGTGTGACTGTGAGAAAGGATGGCAGGGACTCGACTGCTCACAAAGTGAGTAAATCCAAAAATAAAAATAATACTTTGAATAACAATTAATATTCTATTTGTACTTACCCAATTAACCGGTTTGAAAACGTATAATTATTTTGTAGATGTAAATGAGTGTGAGGTATCCTCCCCTTGTCTTAATGGCGGGTCGTGTGTGGATACAGAGGGGTCCTATAAATGTAAATGTGTGGTGGGATGGACAGGGCAGGACTGCCAGACAGGTAAAGAAATAAAGAACCTTAAAACAATATTGTAGATAAATACGAGGGTCATTCAAAAAGTTCGTAGATAAATATGGAACAGATAAATAATTTGATAAAAAAAATTGGAATATATCTTCATATTTCTGAAAATTATCAAAGATTTAGAACAGCAAAAATGGGGTCACGGAGCACCGACAAAATTGAAAAGTAAACATCCATATTTTTTACATGTTTAAATAAAGTATTGTTGTATTAATTAAAATGAAATCAGTTAAATATCTCGCTCCATTTAAAAGATATCAAAATACATAAGGACCTGCATCACGAAGATAAAATTAGCGTTATGGAGATTAGAGCCTTTACTTTTGAAGCATTTCACATAATTTAGATATAAATTTATTTAATCTCAATGGAGACACATGTACTAGCCAAATTAGACATACCTGGAATAATCTTGCCTTGTTTTGTTAAAAAGATGTGAATGAATGTAACCAGTTCCCCTGTCAAAATGGCGGCACGTGTAACAACAATGAGGGGTCCTTTACATGCACGTGCAAGGAAGGGTGGACAGGTGCCACGTGTGATACTGGTATGATGACAATACTTTTTATTTATCTTCTTTTTTACTTCTGTTAACATTTTTAAGGTTTTCAGATCATTTGAAGGGAGAATATAAATAAACGAAATCTAGAAAGAATGTTCGGATTACTATTAAAAAATATTAATGAATTATTTATGACATAGTTGATTTGAAAAGAATTATACTGGTCCCTTAATTTTATAGTGACTGCATTTCGATTTAATTCCGTTTTATTATGCAATTGTCAGATGTCGATGAATGCTCGAACAACCCCTGTGTAAATAACGGAACGTGTTCGAATACTCGGGGCTCCTACAGGTGTTCTTGTGCTGCAGGCTGGACCGGAAAACACTGCGATAAAGGTTAGACAAAAACCATCAGAGAATTAAATGACGTATTCGTTTTTACCACATTTATTCGATCTGTTGGTGTAAAACTTTCGGTTTAGAATCACCTCATACAACATATGGATGATATTTTTTTCCTGATATTTTCAGACAAGGATGAGTGTACGACCTTACCTTGTGCTAATGGCGGAACGTGTATCAATAACGAGGGCTCCTACTCCTGTCAGTGTGATAAGGGCTGGACCGGTAAAGACTGTCTGCAAGGTAAAATTAGCCATTATTCTCACCTTTCTATTTCCATTTTCTCATATTTTGATTTTAATAAATTATTAGAAAATTGTAATAATTTTGATGAATTTAATTCAACGAAGACCATTTACAGACATACGTGTTATCAGTGAGAAATACCTCGTCATACAACTAAATCGAGTTCATTTCAAAACACTATAATTCAAAAAAGAAATATATGTACATATACTTGCAGACGTAAATGAATGCCTGTCATCCCCTTGTAAGAACGGGGGAACGTGTCAAAACACGGAGGGTTCATTCCGATGCCTGTGTGAAGCTGGATGGGAGTCGCCAGACTGCAATAAAGGTAAAAAAAAAATGAAAGTTTTTAATTTCATAAACAGTAGGTTGTTTGGAAAGAAGTTGTAAAACTACAATCGATAAAAACGGCGAACTGCTTCCAGAACCTTTGAGTATAGACAAGTAAATATTCAAATAAGTATAAAATACAACAAAATTTTCGTCATGATTTATATTTATGAGATTTTTATTTAACAGCCCTTGTAATTTTCAGATCGAGTAGATATTTATTTCAACTCTATTCAAATATAACACTTTTAACCAAGATAATTAGGGTCAATATGAAATTCATCTGTTAGATAAATTAAAACTAAAAACACAAAATCAAAAAGGTTTGTAGCCAGAAATATCCGACAGAAAAAAAGATCAAGAAAATCGCTGATATTTCTCGCCTGAAAAAAGTGTCAATTTATTTAGAATTATATGTTAGATACGCTCGCATATTGTTACATTAAATGATTGTAGTGAGTATGCAAATGGATCTACTATCAAATTTAATTAGATTGAAAAAGTGGTTAACAGATCAGATGACTCTTTTATTTCACAGACATTAACGAATGTGAGAACAATCCTTGTGAAAATGGAGGAGTGTGCACAAACACAGAGGGGTCGTATAAATGTAAATGTGCCGCAGGGTGGACAGGTGCTAACTGTAAAAAGGGTGAGTAGCTTTAACATTATTAGCAAAACACGCTTAGAAAAGTGCCAAGGGGTGGTTAATTTTGCTTCGAACCAATGAAGAAGGGTATATCCTTAAATTCACAATAATTATATTTAAAAGCAACGGTGGATAAAAATTACTTTGTTAGTCAATTCAGTACTCTAAACAGGGTTATTTTCGCCCCGTGTTATTTTCGCCCTTTTGCACTTGCGAACAAGTTTGCCCCGTTTTTAATGCGCCCAGGTATTGTTCTGTTTAAGAAATTATGCCGTGTAATTTGCATTCGCCCCTTTTTAAATTCGCCCAATCAAGAAGAGGGCGAAAATTTCCCGGTATACAATATATGTCTGCTCACCAAAATCGTGTTTCACTGTATTACTTTCTCGTAATATCATAATTGAAGTTGATATTTTAAACATATATATATCTATAACCAATGAAGACAGTCCTGAGTATCATTTTTTGTTATCAATAGATGTTGACGAATGTAAGCTGAACAATCCGTGTGAGAACGGCGGGGTATGTCAGAATAATGAGGGATCCTACATGTGTCAGTGTACGGAGGGGTGGACAGGCCAGACCTGTGGAGAAGGTTAGCAAGCACTGATTTACAATAGAGTCATTTTCCGTCCAAATAGTTGTAGATCTATACAGTAAACTTGGCTGAGGTTTGGTACGTTTAGCTTTAAGTCACAATTAACAGCTTAAAGCCTTCAATGAAGAAACAGTCCAATAATTGATATCAAGCTTAAGCCTTAAATCTTAGTTGCGATTATATTAGCGAAGATTATAACATATAGATAGGAAATTGAACAAAATATCCCTATTTTGCCCTTGGTTATTACAGATGTTGACGAATGTATTGAGTCTCCCTGCAGCCATGGCGCATGCGTCAATGAGCCGGGATCTTACGTGTGTGATTGTGAGCCGGGGTGGACCGACAAACACTGCGAGACAGGTAGGGACGGCTATTCACCTTAACAGAATTTATGTATTCAAATCTAAACAAGAGGCCCATGGGCCACATCGCTCACCTGAGTAACTTGGGTGATGCAGTTCTTACCAGATTTCCCCTCATGCTATACCTATCATGCCCCACTACCCCCTTCCCTTTTATGATTTTAAGAATTTAATATCTACACTACCCCAGGATGCTTCCATATACTAGTATCTTTCAGCTTTCCTGGCCCAGTGGTTCTTGAGAAGAAGATTTTTAAAGATTTGTTCTATATATTTTTATGTAAAATTTGGATTCCCTATTGTGGCCCCGCCCTACCCCGGGGGTCATGATTTTAACAATTTAATATTGACACTATTCAAGGATGATTCCACATAAGTTCCAGCTTTCCTGGCCCAGTGGTTCTTGAGAAGAAGATTTTTAAAGATTTGTTCTATATATTTTTATGTAAAATTTGGATTCCCTATTGTGGCCCCGCCCTACCCCCTGGGGTCATGATTTTAACAATTTAATATCTACACTACCCAAGGATGATTCCATATATCTTTCAGCTTTCCTGGCCCAGTGGTTCTTGAGAAGAAGATTTTTAAAGATTTGTTCTATATATTTCTATGTAAAACTTGGATTCCCTATTGTGGCCCAGCCCTACCTCCGGGGATCATGATTTTAACAATGAAATATCTACACTACCCCAGGATGATTCCACATAATTTTCAGCTTTCCTAGCTCAGTGGTTCTTGAGAAGAAGATTTTTAAAGATTTGTTCTATATATTTCTATGTAAAACTTGGATTCCCTATTGTGGCCCCGCCCTACCCCCGGGGGTCATGATTTTAACAATTTAATATCTACACTATTCAAGGATGATTCCACATAAGTTTCAGCTTTCCTGACCCAATGGTTCTTGAGAAGAAGATTTTTAAAGATTTGTTCTATATATTTTTATGTAAAATTTGGATTCCCTATTGTGGCCCCGCCCTACCCCCGGGGGTCATGATTTTAACAATTTAATATCTACACTACCCAAGGATGATTCCATATAACTTTCAGCTTTCCTGGCCCAGTGGTTCTTGAGAAGAAGATTTTTAAAGACTTGTTCTATATATTTCTATGTAAAACTTGGATTCCCTATTGTGGCCCCGCCCTACCCCCGGGGGTCATGATTTTTACAATTTAATATCTACACTATTCAAGGATGATTCCACATAAGTTTCAGCTTTCCTGGCCCAGTGGTTCTTGAGAAGAAGATTTTTTAGTGACCCCACCCTATTTTTGTCTTTTCTTGATTATCTCCCCTTGTAAGGAGACTTGGCCCTTCATTTTAACAATTTAAACTACCCTTCACCCAAGGATGCTTTGTACTAAGTTTGGTTAAAATTGGCCCATTGGTTCTTGAGAAGAAGTCGAAAATGTGAAAAGTTTACAGACGGACGGACGACGGACAATATGTGATCAGAAAAGCTCACTTGAGCCTTCGGCTCAGGTGAGCTAAAACTCATAACCAACTGGATGTTTAATATGCAGATGTTGAATAGAAAATGTTTGGCCTATTTGCCGAATAGGGTATGTGCGCGATTAATTTGAAATATTATTTGGTTTTATTATTTGAAGATGTCGATGAGTGTCTGTCTAAACCATGTCAGAATGGTGGGTCATGCCGGAATACCATTGGTTCTTATGAATGCACGTGTACAGACCCCTATTTTGGACGTAACTGTGAAAGTGGTAAGGACTTGCAAAAAGTCTTTTCTTAAAATTCAAATTTAGCATGTCTTCTTTTTCGATATCACTTAATTACTACTAAATTAAGATCTCTTCCACTATAACATTGAAAATTTCAATTACGATTTGGTAAATACTTGATATCAACTAAGTTTTGTATATAGGTCCCCGATAATATTCAAGTGTTTAGTTCAAAGAAATTTCAACTCTTTTGTTTGAATCCTCTTGATTTAACAACTGTACATGTATTTTACGTAAATTTTGTTTCACATACGATTAAACTGCAAGTTCTTGATAGATTATACAATTCAATAAATATTAATTATAAACATGTATATTATTTGTGTAATTTGACATTTTAGCCATGTTTGCAACATCTACTCGTAAGCAAATGGGAACCAAGAATGTGGATATCATGTGTGATCTCAGAAATGTTGAGGAATGGAGGAATTTTGATGTTGTTCGAAATAACATACCTGTTATCCGTGTCAACCCCAATGGCAGAGTTCAGTCGAGATTCAATCGGAGAAAGGTGATTGCCAAACCCAACATAGAAGGGTCTAATGCCCAGATCAATGTGAGGTTCGCCACCTTCCGCTGTCAGGACGAGGGACTGTATACCTGTAAGATAGACAACAAACAACCCCAGGATATGGAAGCCATAGTTACAAGTGAGTTGTCACGTGAGCTTACTGCATACAGGTGCGGATCCAAGATTTTTTCCGGGGGTGGGGGGGGGGGGTCTATCCAAGTCAAGAAAAAAAATTGAACCCATGAATCCAGAAATTTCTTGACATGCAAGACACAGAACTCTTGGGGGGGGGGGGGCAGTCGTTGACTTTTAAATCTTCATACCTAAAAATTTCAAACCAGGTTAACATGAGCACAGATCCGCGTTTCAATGAGGGGTCCTCCCCTTCTAGATCCGAGCATGGCATACATTATTAATTTGTATGAATCCTGTCGTATAGCAACTTCCTTATGTATGGAATGGCTTGTAAAAAGTGAAAGTTTATAATAAAAACATGTTTCATACAGGATGTAAAAGCTCGTCATATTTTTTTTCCAGCTGCACCTCAAGGTAAACCCATCTTGTCGAAAATTGAGGAACTTTTCGGTGAAAATAATATTGACTTCAACTGTACCGGCAGACCTGGCTATCCAGACGGAAACTTAGAGTTTGAAATTAAATTGTCAAACGAAACGGAATTCCGACCATACCAGTTTTACAGTGCTAAAATTACAAACGAGGACAAAAACTGTTATAGAACTCAAACGGTCAATGCTACATATCTATTTACAATGGAGTGGAACCAGGCCAAAATTCGTTGTTTAAGCGGTGACAAATATGACGAAACAAATGTTTACCTCATACCACGTGAGTACGGTTGCTTTACCAGAAATAAGTAAATATAGCAATTGTAACAATGATAAATTGCTTCCAAATTTGGCAAGCATGTTATTTTGCATGATTTTTTTTCAATACATATTTCTTTTTTCATTTTACAGCCACGATATGTGAAAGAGTACCTGTGAATAGGAGTGTTCGACATCCTTACGATAAACATAAATATATCACGTGCACACGTGAGGCCCCGCAAGCTCGATTCTGTCCCGGAAGTACGTGTTTTGAAGAACGTGCACAACAATGTACATTTACATGTAATGGATAATCACTTTTAGATTTTAGCTATTCATTGTAATTTATTTTGTTTTTATATTTTGTTGTTTTTATATGTGATATTTTTTATATTGAAATAAATTATTTTTTTTTAATTTATAACATTAATTTATAAATAACAAAGGGTACCATAGGACATATTTTTAAGTGTCATGAATAGAAGAAGTGACAAGAGGTAATCATATTCCTCTCCTCTTGTTCTTATTGTTGGCCACTACCGATGACATGGTCACCAGAGCTCGCTTTCTCTCTCTCTCTCTCTCTCTCTCTCTCTCTCTCTCTCTCTCTCTCTCTCTCTCTCTCTCAGTCCAATTTCTGGACTTAAAAAAACCTGCTGATACTCTTATTTTATTTTTGATGAGTTCAAGATCAAGTTTTGATTTCGTTCCACTTAGAAAATGTTGTTGGAATTGAAACATTTGGACTTTTGGCCTAAAGATTTAATTATTATATATACAGGGAATACCTGCCGGTAGGAGACTTGAATTCTTTTTTTGCCTTGTCCTCTTCTTATCCTGTGCCGACCTCAATATCGAGTGTAGTAGCATGTCGAACACAGCTAAAAGCCTCTTATTTACAGTTAAAACTCGGTTAAAAACGATGTTCTGCATGATACTTAAGGGTCATAGGAAGCAGCCATGGTGTTGATTACCGTAGATACTTGAAGCTGTCGATGGTACTGGCTTCTTTAACATGATCTGGCAGGCTGTTCCAGTCCCTGATGGTCCTTGTGAAGAAGAAAAACTTGTACACGTCTCGATATGTTGGTGGCTGACGGTATTGGCTGCCCCTTGTCCGAGTATCCCCTGGTGTTAAGTACGATGTTGCTTGAATATCGATAAGGTCATTGCTGATCTTCTACATCATGTTGAGCCGTGATCTTAGTCGGTGTGTTTCAAGGGGCTCCTAATGTAGCTCCTCCATCATCGATTTTACACAGCCTGGTGTTCTCTCATAATTGCCCTTAACAAACCTCGCTGCTCTCTTCTGGACACTCTCCAGCATTTTTTTGGGTCTGTTGATAAGGATCCCAAACTGTCGCTGCATACTCCAAGGTGGGTCTGACCATTGTACTGTAGGCAGTAGAGATTTGATATCAGCTCTACATCCCTGTAGACTGAGGCGAAGAAAGCCAAGGGTCTTGCATAATTTGGCTCGGATATTGCATATGTGTTCCGTCCAGTTCAGTTCGTTGTTTAGAGTAATATCTTGGTATTTCGACTGCTGACTGACTCTAAAGGTGACCATGGAGGAGGTGTTTGTTGATTATGGGTCGTTGTTTCCTGGAGACATGGATGACTGTACATTTCAGGGGGTAGAATTCCGTTTGCCATTCTCATTCCCATTTCTCTAGCGACTTCAAATCTAGCTTGAGTTGTTCGGCATCTGTTATGGAGTTGATATTTTTATAGAGCAGGCAGTCATCAGCGAATAATCTCACATCTGATGATGTACGCTCCGACAAGTAATTGATGAAGATGATTAATGGTCCCATCACAGTCCCCTGGGGGACCCCGGAAATGATATTAACTCTGGTAGAGGATTGACCCTCTAGAGTGACTTGCTGTGTCCGTTTCGCCAGAAAATCCTTGATCCAGTTCCATGTGTTTCCTAATGACGCCATAAAAGTGCGGTTTATGTAGGAGTCTCTGATGTGGCACTGTATCAGAGGCCTTTAAAAAAATAACAGCACTACGTCTACTTGATATCCAAAGGTTCAATGTTTAAGATTTCTGCCTTTGACACTGTGTCACTGTTAAGCAGACCATCAGGGCCTTTGAGTGGAGACACGCCGCTGGTGTCCTGTTTTTGATGTTTGATGTAGGATCAGAATCTCTTTTAGTCCACAGATATCACTTTCAGTAAAAAAAAAAATTTCCCTTGCTAGTTGAATTTCTCGCTGACTAGATGTTTTCAGTTTGCGATATCGTTTTCTGTCCCTATTGCTGTTGGTCTTTCTTGCTTTTTGATGTGCCCTATTTTTCCTCTTTGTGAGTCTGTTTAGGTGGGTATCAGTCCAGAGATTTGATGGCTTTGATCTACTAAACGTAGTTGGTAAATATTTTCTCATCAAATCATTGATTATTCCCTTGAACTTGGACCATATTAGCTTGATATCCCTGATGTTATCATATTCTTTATTGCTTCCCAGATTGCATCCACATTAGCCCTTTTCCACAGAAAGATCTCCCTACGAAAAGTCACCGCCACTGCACATGTGGAAGATTGCCTTCTTATACTGCTGTTTAAGAAATGTTCTATCTTCCCTGAAACTGTCAAGGTAACTTTCACCTGAGCCTGGAGGTTGATAGAAAGATGATACTATCAATTGTTTCTCATTTAGTAGGTCGATCTTCACTGCAATCGGTTCAATCAATTTGTTGGAGAATATCTCTGATGATGTGAGTGAAGTGTAAACTGCACTCCCCCATAGCTGTATGTACCTCGATCCCTCCTGTATAGGTATCAGGGAGTTCTGATGACAGTATGTCTTTATTTGTCCAGGTATCCGTGCCGATTATGACATCAGGTGCTGTGGTTTCTATCAATACATTTACCTCAAGCTCAGCCGCTTTATTTTTGATTGACTTTAAAGTTTTTCAAAGTGTAAAGTTTTCGATAAAGTTTTTCAAAGTGTCAAAGTTTTCGCCAGTTTTTCAAAGTATCAAAGTTTTCGCCAAAGTTTTTCAAAGTATCAAAGTTTTCGCCAAAGTTTTTCAAAGTGTCAAAGTTTTCGCCAAAGTTTTTCAACGTGTCAAAGTTTTCGCCTAAGTTTTTCAAAGTATAAAAGTTTTCGCCAAGGTTCTTCAAAGTATAGAAGTTTTCGCCAAAGTTTTTCAAAGTGTCAAAGTTTTCGCCAAAGGTTTTCAAAGTGTCAAAGTTTTCACCAAAGTTTTTCAAAGTGTCAAAGTTTTCGATAAAGTTTTTCAAAGTGTCCAAGTTTTCGCCAAAGTTTTTCAAAGTGTCAAAAGTTTCGCTAAAGTTTTTCAAAGTGTCAAAGTTTTCGCCAAAGTTTTTCAAAGTATGAAAGTTTTCGTCAAAGTTTTTCAAAGTGTCAAAGTTTTCGTCAAAGTTTTTCAAAGTGTCAAAGTTATCACTATAGTAAATCAAAGTTTTCAAAGTGTCAAAGTTATAACTATAGAATATAGTTAACTACGAGGGCCGTTCAAAAATTACGCGGACTGTGCTATTATTTACTCTTACAGACGTCATATAGTTATAAAATTTCACAGAAATATGTATCTTAAAGATTCCAATAAATTTTGGGCAAAATTTCTGTATTTTAAAATTTTTTTACTAAAATTATCGGTGTGTTGATATCGTTGATGGAGACGTACGGCGCACGACAAAAAAATTGAAGCAAAAGTATGCGGATTCAAAAATTTAACTCATTGATTTTCTAAAATTCGCGATATTTTTCAACAATTTTCTCAAATGTACCTTTAAATTGTTCTATTATTATGTATTTAGATTTCGGACATAATATTTGAAGTACTAACAGAAATATAGTGATTTTTCTCTGATGCGATTCCCGTGAAAACGACTGTGAAAATGACGTCTCCTGAATTGACGGCGCACCACACTTTTGTTAAAATATGTGTAATGCTCGAGATATCGGCAACATAGATCCAAAATATGCATAATAAAACATGTAGTAAACTAGGCTACTCGTGACATTCGCTCACAAATAGCAAATTGAATTTTTAGACAGTTAGACCTCTGTAAAAAGGCTATACGGGAGGACGGGAAGAAGATTATAGACGAAAAGTTAACTTTATCCGGACTGTAAAGAACGTGATTGAGAGTCACCAATATCACACTATATCTCATAAGTAGTTTTTGGTTTTAAAACAAAAAAGAGAACATTCTTTACTTGTTTAATAGATTTTTAGCTTGACAAGAAATGGTGTTTTGATGTTGAGTAGATAAGGTAACTCAAACTATACAGGTACTCAAGGGAAAATGTTGAGAAAATGAAAGCTCAATCACATATTTTTCATAATGCTTGTGATGTCGAAGATTTTGCTGCGCCGTGACTTAATGGTATGTCCTGAAAAATCACTCAAAATTAATACCAATTTACAACATTTTTATATGAAATTTTGAAGATCATATAAGTAAAGATTCTTTTATATTATTTGTGAAATTTTGCCCGATTATGTCGTCAAATATTTCTTCTGTGCAACAAGTCCGCGTAATTTTTGAACGGCCCTCGTATAGTATTTTTTTGTTAGGGATGGTTGGGTATAACTGTTGGTCTGTTTGAAGTGTTTGATGTTTGATGTTAGAAATGGACTCACAATCGAGGATGATGTAGTGTTATCCAATGAGTTGCTACTACAATCTAATAACAAAGCATATGTGTTGTTATTTAGTGGCATATCATATAAGAATGTTGAATGGTTACAATTATTGCAGTTAGTACAGAGCCAAAGGTTGACCTGTTTCCTAATTTGTGGTATGATTCATCTGATTTACCCATGCACTTTGCATGGAACCATTGGTTGCAATCATCATAAGGTACAGCTTTCTGGTTTGACTTACACGGTTTCTCACTTACTCCATAATATGTATACTTTACTGGTCCTGGGTTTGTCTCAATACCTCCTATTATTAGCAAGGTGAGCAGAAGGCGATAAGATATTACTGTTTTTGACAATTTCCTAACCCTTACATAAGAAAACCAATTGTAGATGAATTAATATATTATCTTGGAAAGTTTGAGGGTGGTATTTAAGTAAAGAAGGCTCCCGTTACCCTCTTCGGGTTCGAAGTCATCCGACTTTCTAGAACTTTCAGTAAGGAGTGAGCTCGGACATAAACGGAAAGGATTTGCACATTTTATTTTTTAATCAGTTATCACAACTTTTTTTTTTCTTTTATATCACTCACATCAAGTTTTGAATGAATAATACGAAAGCCCATTGGGCTCATTTTCGTTGGATAAAAAAATAATTTTTTCCCCTTATAACGCGAAACGTTCGCGATATAACCCGAAACTAACGCGATAGAACGCAAAATATTTCGCAAATAAACGCGAAACTTTCGCGATATAACGCAAAACGTACGCGATATAACGCGAAACTTTTGCGTTATTTCGCGAAATAATATGCATATAGTAATGTTACTCGGGAACCTTGATCTTGACTGACAGATAGGAACATGAAATCAGACGTGAACTTATTCATAAAATATTTCCTCAGAAGATGTACTGGAGAAATGATGCGAGAATATATCAGTCATCAGAATATTTTTTTATTTCAAAACCTTATCTATTAATAAAATGAATTTTACTCACTTGTACATGTTTTTCAATTGTTAAATTCAATAAATTCTTTACACTGATTATTTTTAACCTTAAAAATGAGCTCAGTGGGCTTTCGTAGAATAATTTATTAATGCTGTTTTATGAAAAAAATTAAATACTTGCTTGATGTCAGTTTCATTTAAAAATGTCACTCAGTAACTTAGATCTGATAACCGGAACCACCACCATTCTCTCTTTTGTGCTGTTAACTGAAAATGAAAGTAGACTTTTAATTTAAGTTAAGTGAAATCTGAATATAATATTAAATTTTGGACATCATCATTATACCTAGTGTATTTCTAGATAGAGAAGTAAGTAAGAACTCTGGTGCAGTCGTTTAGGAGTTTATTTGCAAAATGTACTACTGTCTGGAAAAAGCACCCCCACCTCCTGAATGTGTTTGTCCTCTAAATATAATTTCTGTGCACTTATTGATTTTTGGAATGAAACGCAAGAATGAATTTCAATGTACAAAACACAGTCACAAAAAGATAAATACAAGTAGGTTGTACAAACCGAGTATTTTAAAACAAATTTAAAGCCTTTAAACCGGTTTTTAAATAATCAAATGATCGTTAAATTACACATTCAAACACATAAATTCAATGCCGCCGGTTTGAAATGGATCCTCTTTTAAAGGTATGAAAGATTATTTCATTTATTGTTTTAGCTTTGCAAAAAGTGTATTAATTTTACATTATTTTTATGTGTATAGCTTATTTATGTGTATATGTGCGAGAAGCGTTGAACTTGAATTAGCTAGTATGGTGTCCAGATAGGGCCATTTGCTAAAGCTCAACATCGCGTTCGGAGAAAACTCGCCGTCGCGCTATCACAACATTGAACAATACACTGTCACGCTAACACGAGTTCGCACAATACTCTGTAGCACTAACACACACCACGCTAACACACAACATACTGTGGGAGTTGTGTGTTAGCGCGACGGCGTGTTCTGCGAACTCGTGTAAGCGTGACAGCTTGTATAGTGAGTGAGCGCGTCAGCATGTTGTGTGAAACTGTGTTAGCGTGACAGCGTGTTGTTCGATGTTGCAATGGCGAGTTGTGTGTCAGCGCGACGGCATGTTTTCTAAAAGAGCTGTTGAGCTTAAGCAAATGGCCCTACCCGGACACCATATATATGCCACATTAAATGTTGTGGATAATCAATGTAAATTGTTGGATTTTTATGTATCAGTGCCGGTCTTGTAGAGAGGCTCCCCCCCACGAAAAACTGGCTCTAGAGTAGGATTTCCCCCCGAAAAACTTGCTCTAGCTTAGGATTTCCCCTACGGAAATCCCACACCAGAGTCAATTTTCCGGGGGGGATCCTACTATGTGTAGTAGTAAGATTCTCCCCCCCCCCACCCAATAAAATATAATTGCTGTACTTATGTTTTGAAGGGGAGAGGGGCCGTACATTGTTACAAGGCTTCCTTCTTTATAAGGGTGCCGTACCAGATGTATTGAATACGAAGGATGAAAATAAAAATTTGAAATATATTATTTTTCTCAGCAACTGTCAAATCATTTATTTTTAGATCAAATAAATCGGTGAAACTAGAGGGACTATAGGTTTACTCTCATCTCTCCGTCCGTCCGTCTATCTAGTTGTCCCTCTGTCTGACTCAAATGATTTTCCGCACTTTTTTCTAAAAGTTTGAAGATATTGATCTTGTGCATTTTATTCAATTTCAATATTTTTCTACGGAATAACGACCTTTTGGCTTTTCAATTTTTTAGGGTTTTCCGCAATGTTTTTCTAAACGAATTGAGATATTGAGCTTTTTGAATTGTGAGTTTCAAGTTTGCATTTAGTTCCACTTCATGAATTTGCGGAATAATGGCATTTTTAATTTCTAGCTAGACTACACTTGGCGGTAGAGGACAAGTATTGATAATGTAATATTCTCAGAATGTTTGTTTTATTGTACAATTTAAATATAACACATGTCAAATATGAAAATCGTTAAATAAATACACAAACCTTTTTCTTTCAAAATTTAGATACCTTTGCTAAATAAGGTGCCTCTCTGAATTTAGAAGTAATATTTCTTTAGTGAAACAACTTAATGTTTGGCTAAGCCAAATACTATGCTTAGAAAAGTCTTACTATATAGGTCGAAAAAACACTCATTTGTACCTTTTAAAAATCAGTTTGCAGTTTAATTTTTTCACAAAAAAATGCGGCTGTGGTATATATTGACTGTATTACAAGAGGGGAGATCCTACTCTGAGAAAGAAAGAAGGGATATTTGGCTCTAGTGTGAGATTTCCCCTCGGAGAAAAATCCTACTCTAGAGTACATTTTCGGGAGGGGGGGGGGGGGGGGGCTGACTATGGGGGAAATTCATAGTTCTACATCGTTGGCTGAGATCCAACTATGTAGAAATACTGCGTAATATTTACCTGCACGTGACGTTACAGGTCGGGCTCATGAATATTGTACTCATCAGGTGGCTAAATCATCGTATTGACCTCAAAAACAGCAATAATTGTATAATATTCACCTATAACGTCACGTGCAGGTAAATATAACGTAGTATTTTTTCAACATAGTTGGATCTAAGCCAATCAGAATGATAGGAATTATTCAATCATATAATAAACGGATTTATTTTCTGTAAAGAAATAATCCACGTGAAAATGTAAATTGAAAATTTCCCTCGGGAATGTTAACTTCTTTTTTACTAGTTACATATACATATACCGGTATATAGATACCAGCATTGATATGTGTCCTCACATATCAACTTCTAGTGGCCATTAAAAAATTTCCCTTGCAAGTCACTAAAACAAAACAACAAAGCAACTGTATAAGGCAGGCGCTAAAAAAGTATTTATGGAAAGCTGTCTGATGGATCCTCCTTATATATGATGATTGCAGGTTTTCTATCGTCAATCTTTCCCTTATTCTTGTAGCAGAGGCAAACGACTGTCAAACAAGTTGATGAATCAGAAATATCAACAGTCTCGTTTTAAAGTCATTATTTTGCAAGTTCTACGGTCATTACAATGAATTTTTCAACAAATACCATCTTTCATTAAGTAGCCCCCACCCCCGAGTTATACGCGTCGCTCAATAGTTAATTATGTATATTGTGTTACAGATCTGGGACATTCTGAATAACCTGACCAATAAAGTGGAAACAGTAGCTCAAAAACTGCCTTTTATGGAAGAGAAACTTGAAAACATGTCTAACAAAATTCAATTTCTTTGTGATCAACTTCCTCGTACACAGGATAATGTTTCAGCTAATGTCAGAAAGATGAAACAAAAGAAAACAAAGAGAAATCTAGAAACGTATGCTTCAAAAGATCCCTTTTCTAATGAGCAAGGCGATGGTAGGTTATGATCTTTTCTAGAGGACATATATTCTCCGACAAATTCATATATATTGTATACATATATGATGCTTCCAAATAGTGATTATTCATTTTCCTTTTTGAAATTATGATTATATCATCACAGGTACACGAGGACAGGATTGTTACTAAACCACCCACCCCCTCCTTCAATATTGATAATATATAAAAACAAATATAACAGTAACTTGGGGTATTGTCATATCAAAAATTAAAAAATATATATTTCCAATGCTATTTTTTTCACAGGTACACGTGGACAGGAATGTAAATTAGGCAGGTAACCCAACCCACCCCCTCCTTCAATATAAAAAAAGTTTTTCTGATTTTTAAAAAAATACGTACGGGGTTAAGCACATATAAAAGGTAAAATTCAAAACTACATTGCTACAAGTATTGTGACATATTTTGAATTCCTTACATGCAATGTAATTTATGTAAACATGCAATTTAGACATGCAAGTTACCAATATCTGTAGAGAAGTAGAGAATCTGATTCTGATGTTGGTAAACTTACTTACTAATGCCATCATGACTACGGTGGCACACTCGCTATATGCAAAATAAATCAACATATTGAAAGAAATGGGTGGGAGTTAGGAACAGTTCTGTCCATGAGTACCTTAGTCATTGCATATCTTTAATTTATTTTATTAATAAGTATAGATTTTCACGTCGAAGTTCTGAAAGACAAGCATAAACATCTTATGGAGAACATCACTCTTCAAGACAATGCGTTAGACTTACTTGTCCAAAACAAAGCTATTTATCATCTGATAGCGAAGCAATCATGTCGTTTTCAAACAGATCAGAACGCGTGCGATGTTTGCTACTCAGGCTTGCTAAGTATGATGAAACGCATTTTATGCACTTTACGGACGCTTTACAACAAGAAAAACGAAAAGATTTAGCGAACATATTGATAGAGGGATATAATGAATACAAAAATAGGAAAACTGAGCGAACACCTAAATGTGCTCACTGCAAAATCAAATCAAGGGTCGAACTAAAAGATGTTATTGACAAACTATATCAGGAAAGAGTAATTGACGAATCCTTTGTAGATAGAGTAAATAGATCAGCACCTTGCGCAAGAAAAGTGTTATGGAACGAATGTTTCTACATCATTAAAAAATGCGACAGAGCAGAAGTTTTGTCCCAGTGTTTAAAAGAAAGATATGAACAATATGTAACTTCCGGTACCTATGTTAAGTGTACGTGTCTCAAGCAGAGGTTACAAACTGGTGGACATTTTAACAGTCCTTCGCTGACCTCGGGTAGTATGGCAGATTGGAGCGAGTCACCGGTGGATTCACTATCTCCAGCTTCCACATTCAGATTCAGAAATGTCCACGCAGATACCATTAGTAGTCTAAGCTCAGTGAATAGTTCTACTCATAGAAAATCTGGTAGTGTAATGTCAAAAAGATTACACCAAACTAAGAAAGTGGACAATGACTCTCACTTGAAGTTTTATAAAAAGGGCAGAAAATATAAAAAAGTACAGGAGATTTTTGAAACGAAGAGATCCGATAACTCTGAAAGTGAGAGAATTAATCAAAATCCACTTGTGTCAGAAATGTCGAGGGAGGAAATACTTCATCTGCAGACTGAAACGTTAGATAGTACTTATTTGTGATCTGGTGTTGTTTCCCTTTCCCTTGTTAAATATTATTGTGATAAAATAGATACTTAGTATTCTTTGGGGAAATATATAATTTGTTTTAATTCGAAGTAGCAGGAACCTTCAGTATATATTAGTATTTAGGTCCCTGGAAGTAGTAATTACAATTTTAAACAGTTCTGCATGAATAATTTCTTTTTTTAAAAATTGCTGTTGGGTTATTTTCAATTTGACATTATATATTGCTGTAACAAATTTCGAATATTTTCAATTTACCATTATATTTTCTATGATAATTTTTTTTTGGGGGGGGGGGGAGTTAAGTTTTGAAAATGCCTTTAATGTATAAATACTATATGTAGTTAAGAGGAACCGTTAAAAAATGTTCATATGCAAAGTTTAATATTTTTATTATACCTCTACTGATTTTTTCCTATATAAAAGTAAGGCAGTAAAATGTGAATAATTCCTTAGAAATCTCAGTGAATGGACTAATTCCCCGTGCGTTAGTTAAATGAGCTAATCCCTGCTTCGGAAGCTAATTTCCCGGTTATCCGTAATCCTATAGCTTTAACTTTTGTATCTGTCTGATATGTTAATGGACTAATTCCCCGTGCGTTAGTTTTGAAGCTAATTCCCCGCCATTTGTAATCCTCTAATTATACTTTTTAACTGTTTTATTATACCGATACAAGTAGACTCTATTTGTTTCGGTATAATAAAACAGTTAAAAAGTATATCATTCAGGGAGTTAGCAATATTCGGGAAATAGTCCTGGTCGAGGGGAACTGGAATCTTGCTAACTCCCTCAATGATATACTTTAACTGTGTATACTAATGTTTTACTAAACTAGAGCCGAGCTCGTTGCAAAGCAACGAGTAGGTCTTCCGTCCTGTTTGACCGGAAATAACTTTCATTTGAAAAAAAAAGAGTAATGAAGTCGAAAAATGGTTTAATCCTCCAAATCTATGTACATTTTTGCAAAATCAAGCCATTTTTGGCAACTTCCGGTTTGACCAAGTTAAGAGAAAATTAAGATTTAAGCTTCCAGTGACATATAATATCCAAAAACCTGTCAAAACAACAAAAATATGCAATTTTTGACTAACCGGTTTGACCGGAAGTGACGTACCCGGACGTTTTGACAACCTCATTAAATAAAGCTTGACATTTTGAACAACTTTGCTTATTTGACGTATTATAAATTCTCTATACTTTTGAGATATTAAACAAAAACTTTCAAGGGCCCTAGATCCCTAATTTTAGGGGCCAGCCCCTTTTTAATGATATCAAATGAAAGCGCTTGAAATTATGCACAACTTTTATTCAACATGTCTTAACAAAATATTTTTAGTTTTCAAGATAAAAAGGAAAATATCTGTAAATTTTCGCTCTTTTAGGCGTTCTAATTTTTGACCCCTATATAGCGCTATTTTGAATGCAGAAATCGAAAAACAAAAACCGATGTGCACAACTTCAATCCTTCTGTTATCTAAAACAAGTAAAATTTCTGCTCCAGCTTTTGTGGTCTCTGAGCCTTTATCTGGAAACGAAAGCCTATGATTTTTCGTTTAAAGGGGAATAACTCAAAACCGGAAGTGACTTTTTGATATTTTAGTCATTATTCTGATAGAGTTTATAAACGTCTATAACCTCTAAAAATTTGAGCAAAATCCGTTGAGAAATGAGTGAGATATGAGGCCTCAAAGTTGGCGTCTAGGAAGTAGAAGAAAAAAAAAGAATAATAATCTTTACCAACAGAATCAGTAGAAGGTCTTCCGTTGGAAACGGAAGACCTTAAAGATCATAAAAATCGATGTTTGATCGCTGAGTAAGATGTTGGACCTGTTGATGAGATGTTGGACCGCTTTCGTCACACAATGGGTGGGATCAGTTAAATCTATTTGCTTTCAATGGTTTCAAAAGGAGATGGGTAAACAGGGCCTGCAGAATGCCTATAGCTTCAGATATTCAGTTTATGATTATTATGAAATTATGATAAATAAAACTTTTTTGAGAGAAAAAATCTCAGAAAAATTGTTATTTTATTGAAAAGTATAATATTATTCATCCGGCGTATTATATGGCTTCGACACTAACACAACTATAACCACTAAGTTACAAAGCTCCTGATAAAAGGTGGCATTTAAAAATTTAAATCATGATTGTGATATGATTGTTTTGTCATAAAAGTACATGTACTTTCAAGGTATAGTGTTGCACTATGTTTTTGTAAACCAATAAGATTAACTTTCAAAAAATGGAGAGAAGACAAACTTTATCGAAAAATAAAATGCTAAAGTAAGAGAAAATGAACCCTTTGGCTTCTTTAGTGTGTGCATGCTATTTCATAGGCAAATAATTTCAGTCTTTGTGGGATTTTTTGAAATTGTAGAGATACATAAAATAAACTTAAATGTAAGATGAAATATCAAGGAAAATTTTGATATATTTTATTTTGCACATCATACACGTATTTGTCGCAATCTATGCAATTCGCCCGCCTTCTTCCCCAATCTTCAAAGTTCCTTTAGAGGTACATGTATAAGAGGAGCTGTGGATGAGATCGGCACCCTCAAGCTTAATAGACGGACGGACGTACAGACGGGCATTCCGATCACTATACCCCCAGCTTTTCAAGCGGTGGAAGAGATACTTTGTATAATATAAAGATTTGTTTATTATTATACAGTTATTGACGGTATGTCCTATGAGGACAACAAATCAAGATTTGAAAAAATTTTGAATCTATACACTACCTGAGGATGCTTTCACACAAATATGATTAATCATGGCTTTGCTATTCTTGAGATGAAATTTTTCAAGATATTTCCTATGTATTTCTATGTAAAACTTTGATCGTCCCTTGTGACCTCGACCTAAATCCAGGGGTCATGATTTGAACAAACTAGAATCTACACTAACTGAAGATGTTTCCCAATAAGTTTCATCCTTCCTGGCACAGTGGTCCTTGACAAGACTTTTAGAGCAATTTTTTTCACTTTTTCTGAAATATCTTCCCTTGAGAGAGCGTGTGCCCCTTATTTGAACAAACTTGAATCCCCTTTACCCAAGAATGCTTTATGACAAGTGTGGTTTAAATTGGCCCAGTGGTTCTAGAAAGGAGAAACAAGAGGCCCATGGGCCTTATAGGTCACCTGAGTATTGTGTAACAACTTTCAAACAATTAAATTTGGTTCATGTTTTAAACCAGAGGCCATGAAATTCACAATTCACAGTTTTGAAAGAGGCACCATTGCTTATCATAATTAAAAAACTTAGCATGCTTACATGCTTACTCTACTTATTCAATACCCAGAGGTAGATCAGAGTTACAAAGAGAAAATGTTCTTCCACTTTTTAACCAGTTGTGCACCTCACCCCCAAAAGAACCACTGACCCTGGGGCCACATATTTCAAAATTTTGCAAATTTTATCGTAAAATGGTTGATTAATACCAAAGAGCAGATTTCAAAGCATTAATTTGTTTTCAGACTATGTAACTGCCACCCCCCCCCTGACCCAGGAGGGGGGGGGGGGGCATAAAAGATAATCATTTTGCTAGATGCACCTTTCTTCATCATAAATATATATACTTGGATCATTAGCATAAACCCAAAAGCAAAGGAAAATATTTTCAAAGAATTAATGTATTTTTACTGAATAATCAAAAGAGCCCTAACACCTGAACCCCTGATTCTGGGGCAATAAAATTCACAATTTTGGAAAAGGCACTTTTGCTTATCATAACAATGTGCTTGATTAGTTTATTTAATACTCAGAAGCAGAGAGAAGATTTTCAAAGAATAAATGCATTTTCACTATATAATCAATAGAGCCCGCCCTAACACTAGAACCCCTGACCCTGGGGCCATAAAATTCACAAGTCTGGAAGAGGCACTCTTTTTCATCATAACAATGTACTTAGTTAGTTTATTTAAAACCCAGAAGCAGAGAAGAAGATTTTCAAAGAATAAATGCATTTTCACTATATAATCAATAGAGCCCCGCCCTAACACTGGAACTCCTGACCCTAGGGCTATAAATTTACAATTTTGGAAAAGGCACTCTTGCTCATCATAACTTTGTGCTTAATTATTTTAGTTTATTTAATACTCAGAAGCAGAGAGGAAGATTTTCAAAGAATAAATGCATTTTCACTATATAATCTATAGAGCCCCGCCCTAACACTAGAACCCCTGACCCTGGGGCCATAAAATTTACAAATCTGGAAGAGACACTCTTGCTCATCATAACTATGTACTTAGTTTATTTAAAACCCAGAAGCTGAGAAGAAGATTTTCAAAGAATAAATGCATTTTCACTATATAATCAATAGAGCCCCGCCCTAACCCTAGAACCCCTGACCCTAGGGCCATAAAATTCACAAATCTGGAAGAGGCACTCTTTTTCATCATAACAATGTACTTAGTTTATTTAAAACCCAGAAGCAGAGAATAAGATTTTCAAAGAATAAATGCATTTTCACTATATAATCAATAGAGCCCCGCCGTAACACTGGAACTCCTGACCCTAGGGCTATAAATTTACAATTTTGGAAAAGGCACTCTTGCTCATCATAACTTTGTGCTTAATTATTTTAGTTTATTTAATACTCAGAAGCAGAGAGGAAGATTTTCAAAGAATAAATGCATTTTCATTATATAATCTATAGAGCCCCGCCCTAACACTAGAACCCCTGACCCTGGGGCCATAAAATTCACAAGTCTGGAAGAGGCACTCTTTTTCATCATAAATATGTACTTAGTTAGTTTATTTAAAACCCAGAAGCAGAGAAGAAGATTTTCAAAGAATAAATGCATTTTCACTATATAATCAATAGAGCCCCGCCCTAACACTGGAACTCCTGACCCTAGGGCTATAAATTCAAATTTTAGAAAAGGCACTCTTGCTCATCATAACTTTGTGCTTAATTATTTTAGTTTATTTAATACTCAGAAGCAGAGAGGAAGATTTTCAAAGAATAAATGAATTTTCACTATATAATCTATAG